CTAACAATCACACAATTTCTTTACTCATCACTCAAGTCCAACACACATTGAAACTCCAAGATGTTTTGTAAACTCATACTTTCATTGATAAAACAAAACTTCACACAATAAATTTTTTAAGCTTGCTTGAAAATATTTATTCATTCTATCTATTTTTTTATCAAATAAAAAATATCATAGTATCATATTATTATTATTATATAACAAATTTTTACTAAGATAAATATTTGTAATAATAAGTTATGAACTATTATAAATGATTATGAACAACATGTCATTGATCTAATTAAACCATCTAGAAGCTTTTGTCCTTGTGTTAAAATGATGAAACATTATTTAACACCTTAAAAATTCTAGAACTTTTAGTTTTTACTTGTAATAATTTTCATTTAGTTACATTTGAACTAAAAATTACTCAAGATGAAGATGTAAATACATTGTAATTGATTATTTATAGTTGTCACATCAACAATTTTTTTATTTTTTTATAACATTTGAGTATGTTAATTAGTGTGTTGATTGAGAATGACATAAGTGTGTTTAGTAAGTTTATCATCCATGTCATCAATTTACTAAGAGTGAAATGCATGATGAGGTGATATCTTATATTTTTGTTCTGGCTGTATATATATATATATATTTATTTATTTATTTATTTATTTATAAAATATATATAATATATATTTAACATGGTTTAAAATCATTCTAGATTTATCTCATATTCAACATTGTATTTTATATTTACGTGATTTTTTTTAAATTTTTGGTGTTAGAAAATTTATTCAACTTTAATTTTGATATAATTAATGAATTTTATTACTAAATCAAAGCTAAAATATATTCATTTTATAATCCATATATAACTTTCAAAAATATCATAATTATTTTATCTATTAAAAAGCTTGAAGAAGCAATGATAATCTAAGTAGAAATTTTTTATCACTTTTATATTGTTTTTGGCCAGATGCTTGCTTTGTTTCAATATCATAATGATAATAACACTATTAGTGAGCAATCTAATCTCCATGTAATGCAGATACATAAACCTCCCAATAGTCTTTAGCATAAAGTATATGATAGATCTGTGATTTAACCTTTTGAAGTACGTGGTTTTTGTAAAGAACTTCAAGAAGACCATTGAAAGTTTTTGAAGATCTTTCGAAAAGAAAATTGTGGATTGCTTTATTAATGACATGCACAAATAATTGTATATCAAACTTTTTTTTTATTTTTAGTCTAAAAATATATGCAAACAACAAGGTTGTCAAACCACCTATCATTTTAGAAATACTCTTTTTCATAAGAAGAGATCAAACTTTTATTGCATCATTTGTTTTTTGATCTGCATGATGAAATTATTGTCAAATCATCTATCATTTGTCTTAAAAAAATCATTAAAAAAAGTTAAATATTATGAAAATAAAATTACAATTCATAAACCCAAACTATTGGGGACAAGAGACTAAACAACATAATGACTTAGAATAAAATAAAGATGAAATTATTTATAATATTAATTATTTTCATTAATTTTGATGAAAGTGATCTAAACATTCAAAATTGTTAACTTTAAAAAATAAAATCATATCAACATTTTCACATCAAACTTTTACTTCCATCATACATCAATGACATCCAAAAAGTATAACAAGATTTGAGTTTTCACTTTTTGGATCAAATTATTCTTCTATGTATAGCAAAAGTATTAAAAATGTTTTAGATTTGAAGATGCAAAAACTAATAAGTTGCACACACAAATCATCAATAAAAATGGTTAAAACTCACAATAACCTTTGAATATGAAATTTGCAAATTAGAATTGGTATGTTTGAGAAAAACAAACTTAATTAAGTCAATTCTCAAAAAGCACAATCAATTATGAAGCAAATGAGTTTTCAATTAATCTTAACTTTCAAGTCTTCTACTTTAATTTTGTGCAAAAGATTCATAATCATACTCACTATCATTTCAGTGTCCGATACTCTAAACATACACCAATTTCATCATTGGTTGGGATTGACTTTCATCATGAGATTAAAAGATGTAGTAAAAATATATTTGTTATCATTATATGAAAAAGATGAAATAGAATAAATGATAGATATTACATAATGATAAAACATAAAACATGTTGCTAAGTTCTAGCAAATAAATACAATATGTGATGTGTATAAATGCCTTAATAAGAATAATAAGCATAAAAATAGCTATATTATTATAAAAAAAACAATTTATCAATATAAAATTCAATTCAAGCAAAAGTTACATTGTATTTGATTATCACAAGTATATTATTTATCACAAGTTTCTCATTGCAAGGATAGTGGATCATCATGGTCAACAACCATTTGTATCTAACAACAAACATAAAATTTTGACATCATGTATCAAATGTATAATGTTGTTGTAGAAAAACAAAGTGAAAAATCCGCATTTATCCAAATCTGCGCATTTTATTGATTATTTGACAAAAACTTATAATTTTATATGTAATTTTTGCTGTGATGTCAACTCGTCATCTTTTTTTACTCTGATAGATCATGAAAGCAAGACATGATTATTGACATTACAATTTAATCCTCTTGTTTGATTTTTTTGCTTCATGTACATATCAAATACTTATGCAACAATTTAATTCATCTGAAAATTTGCTTTATATTCTATTTAATCTCATTTGTGATTCTTTAAAAAATTCAAATTTGTAAATCCAAAGAGAACATATCATTTGTTGGAATACGTAGGTGATATCTTTCAACTTTAATGCTATAATAGTTTTTGCAGTGCATATGTATGAATCAAAAAAGAAAAAAATAATTTAAAAAATAACAAATGCAAAAATACATCAAGTAGATTGAATACCTCATTTGTATTAACAAAAATAAATGAAGTAAACTAATATTGGCATGTAATGCCATGGATTCAGATTTGTAATGTGTTACAAATGAATGTAACAATACAATTATATGCACATTTTTTTAAGATGATGATTACAACTAATTTTTTGATGTGCGTAGTCAAATTTTAACCTTTATTAAAATATATGTAAGTATTTTTTAGAAAATTTATTTGTATTAAAGAAATAAATAGAATTGGATGCAAAATCACACCACTAAGTAATTTTCATAAGCATGCTCAATGTTGTTTAATAACATTTTATGTAATAAAATATAACTTATATTTTGGAAAGATTACATATTGCAAATACTCATGTCCGCATATCATATATTAAACTTGCAACTTAAAGAATATTCTTCAAAATTATGAAAATAAAAAACATGTATATTGACATTGATGGAAAAAAAAAAAAACCATAATGAATTTTTTCTCTTATGTCTTAAATTGAAATAACGAAATACGTGGAACACCTGCCAAGAAAATCCAACAATGTATGAACTATACATTTGATAGTGTGTATAGATATATCAATAAATCTTATACTTAAAAAATAAAAAAAATAAAATTTATATATGCTCATTCTATCTTTCATTTTATATTCATAATAACTATAGATCAATATATTTCATATAAACAAATCAAAATAAAAAAAGACATACATTACAATTTGAGTCAAATGTGTACAAAAAGCATGCAATTGAATGATAATTTATACATAAAAAAAAATATAAAACACATATAACAAAAAAACACATATAAGGAAATTTTTGTCTGTGCATATATTTTGTGTTCTATGAATATACATATTTGTTAGTATTATAGGTTAGATATGTAATTTTCAATTTTAAATTTATTTTCATTTCAATATATCTTGATAATCTAATGTTGCAATGGATGTTTTTATTATGATGTTATTGATACATGATTTAAATTTGACATATACATGTTATACATAAATTAATTTTAAAAGACGACATCATAATCAAAATACGAGATTCTGCAATGAATGTGAAATATCATATCAATTTTGCCTGTGAATTGATTGAATATTTTGATCGCAAGAAAATTGTATTTGTTGAATTTATAAACAAGAATTTCACATAATGTGGTGTAAGTATCTATCTATGAAACCATCAAAGCTTCCAGATTATGCCTAAAGACCTTGATCCATTTTTTCGAAATCTTGATGGTTATTGCTATAATTTTTAGAAATCTAAACGTAATCTAATTTGAATTCTTGGTAAAAACTGCAAGACTGGTATGAAGTCTTTGAGTTACTAAAGTGATGTTGAAAACTTTGTATGTCAATGGATAAAGCTTTTGATAAATCAAGATTAAAACTTTTATGCACAAGTAGATTGATCTAAATCCTTTAACCATGAGTTTGTAGATTCATATACTTTATCACTTTATTATTTAGTGTGTATGTGTTTCTATTGAGAATTCACTAGAATTGAAGCAAGAATTTCAGCTTTTTTCTCCATTACAGATTTATAATTTTTAATATATTTAAAATTGGATGATGTTCCATTCCACAAACACATACTATTTCATCTTTTGAATGTGCGTCGATGACACTAGTCAATTTACACCAGAAAAAAAACTAGTATGGTGTGCAAGTTCTTATGAATGTTGCACTACAAACCCATGGAACAACAATGCAGAATTTGCTTTGATTCGCACGTCAGATTTGGGGAAATGAAGGGTCGGGAGTGTAGATTTATAATTAAATCTTCTGATTATTAACCTTTTTTGTCCGAATCACAGAGAAACGTTCGACTTTAGCATTCTTGTTACCTGTTAATACAGGAGGATGAGTTTCAGAACTTCAGTCTCTCCAGACTAAAGTTTTCACTTCGCAGAGCTGAAAAGCTAATGAGGAACCTGGAAATATAATAGAAATTAAGTTAATAACCACATTTAACGTAAGGAAATTGGATAAGAGAGAGCAACTCACCTTACCCATAAATGTTGAGTCTGCTCAATATTTGAGTTTGCCGAATTGTCGGTTGCTCTTCCATACAAGAAATTTGTTTTGAGCGGTAGCAGCATCTGGACGTGATTTACTTTTAATATTGATCGGTTGGAAACAAAGAGCCCTTCGGAACGTCGAGCAATCTATTCTGTTTATAAAGGCTTCCATGAGCTCGACAGCGTGAGGAAGTGCTTGATAGCCCCACATTGGTGTCGCCATAGCCGCACTTGCCACAAAAGACGATATAAACGCCTGGAAAGGATTGCGCTCCGGTCGCTAGGAGCATGCCGGAGTAGTGGCTGAATATGGCTCGTGTGTTGCGGCACCTGTTTCCTGCCTGTCACTCAAGGTTCGAGCTTCAATTCCAGTTGATTGGTGTCTGTCACTTCTCGTTCTCGTGGATGGTGACGATCAGAGCAGTGCAACCAATTCAGGTGACGATTGACGCTCATGTGCAGCACATTTCTCGATTGAAAACTGAATTGTGTGGTGTTTTTCCTCAGAGTTTGGAGGGAATTTCGACAGCCCTCGCTGTCGTTCGGGAGCCGAATATGCGCAAGCTACCCGTATCAAGCTGCCTCTCATTCTCAAACTGCTGAAAGTCCCGCAACCTCTTCTAGAAGATCTGGTATGCCCACTTAGCGAAGTGCTTATGCCTGTTGCATTTAACACTGAAACCAGGCTATGCAATTATTGGTTTCTACGTACGGAATTATTTACAAGATTTTTTATTTGCAGGTGAAATTTCTATTGTTCACGGGGACTCAAGAACCGTGGACAACGAGAAAACCAATGGATATTCGGGTTCAACATATACTTATGAGGATACTATTGCCGCCATAGTTACTTCTTTAGGAGGTCAAGATGGTTCCGTAGCAATTGTGAGGCTATCTGGATCATCTGCGGTGTCAATTGCCGGGCAGCTATTTCGGCCAGCAAGAAAGTCCAGAAACGGGGCTTCCTGGCAACCCAAGAGTCATAAAGTCGAATATGGAACGGTTGTGGACTCTTCTGGAGCGATTATTGATGAGGTGTGTTGATCTTATACAGTAAAAGCTTTCGCTGTCATTTTTTCTCGTTGTGAGCATAGAAAGGAGACCCGTACTCTTGTTCGATTGTTCTAAGCCCACACTCTGCACCTTGGCAGGTTCTAGTCGTGCCCATGCTGGCTCCTAGGTCATATACAAGAGAAGATGTGGTGGAGCTGCAGTGTCATGGGGGTAGTATCTGTGTCCATCGCGTCCTTCAACTTTGTCTTCAATCTGGAGCAAGGCTTGCTAAACCTGGTTAGTTCTTCTACTGACTTGTTCTGAGAAATTGTGATCTGGTTACCATCTGCCTTTTCTGGATTAGAGGGGAGGAGTTGTTCGCCATTTTAGGATTGATACTTTTGAAGTCTTGTAATATTGTAATTAGCTGCCGCCGAAGTCATCACCTTTTTTTCCGAAGTGTATCTTGATCCTAGACCATGAGCATCGACAAACTCACCGGACTGATGTTTACTTTTTGGTTGTAATAATAGGGGAGTTTTCAATGCGAGCCTTTTTGAATGGGCGTTTGGACCTTGCTCAAGCAGAGAATGTGGCCGAACTTATTTCCGCGAAATCTTCAGTGGCAGCCGAAACTGCTTTAGCTGGAATGCAGGTTAGTGAACTCTGACGGGTTTGTATCTGGCATTCTTCAGTTGGGCGTGCTGGATAATAGCTCCGTCATGGCTGCATTATCCAGGTTTTACGCTTGTTCCTACGTTCTAAAGAAGTGAGGTCTCTAGTAGTTTCGATTACACTTCCGTATTCCGAAAACATATAGAGGGAATATTATGACTGCCGGAAGTGTTCATTTCTTGATTGTCAAACCTGTTGCATTTAGGGAGGGTTGTCATCATTGGTCCACACCATCCGGGAACAGTGCTTGGAGCTGCTGGGGGACATCGAAGCGAGACTCGATTTTGAAGACGAAATGCCTGTTTTAGAACAAGCGGAAGTTGTAAGTAAAATTGACTCCATGTGGGAGCGTTTACAAGAAGCGTTAGGAACTGCCAGGCGAGGAGAGCTACTGCAAGCTGGTTTGCAGGTAAGACATGAAGCAATATGTGTGGAGCGTGGCCGCACAGTTGTCAAGGCCTCGTCTATGACCACGCAGCTCTGACGGCAATCTTTAGAACATGTAGAAGTTCCCTAGAATCGAGTGTCAACATGTCACACATCGGTAGTCTTATACACTAGTGGTTGTGTGTAAGACTCATGTAGCTTGCATAGATCACTTCTAACCAGTGGCAGATGTTTCTCTTTCAATGGAGAAGTGCTTTTCAATTTACGGGGTTCATATGTACGTCCATCACATTATCCTTGTCAACGAACTTTAGTGGACTATCTATCTTTACAACGAAACATATGTAATTACGAGGGCCTGTTGCTATTTCCCACTTCCTCCTTTAACTGATCCAACGCATTGGGGACATTTTAGGTCGCGATTGTCGGAAGACCTAATGTTGGAAAATCCAGCCTCCTAAACGCTTGGAGCCAAGTAGGTGGGTTCTGCATCTTGTTACGATTTATGTTTGCGTATCTGGTCTAGCATTTCTCAACTCTTTCAATTTTGGAAGCATCAAGTTCTCTCTTATTCCCTCACAGTTTTTCCTGAGGAAAGTTCTCTTTCGTTGATGGATAGTTCTTCATTGATTGTGCAGAGTAGTAGAGCAATTGTTACAGATGTTCCCGGAACAACTCGCGATGTAGTGGAAGCAGATGTAGTGGTGGGCGGTATCAGCGTTAATCTTCTCGATACAGCGGGTATACGAGCCACTGATGATCTCGTGGAAAGCATAGGTAAAACAAAAGAGCTGTTCTTCTTTCCTTTGAAGATGGAGGGATAGATGAGAGAGCATTATATGAGTGATCAATAAGGCTCATTCATGCTGCTCGGATATCCTTGACCAATGTATACGAAAGGTGTATCCGACTTCTTGCTAAGTGAACACGTGAACTGCAGGAGTACAGAGATCAAAAGCCGCTGCAAAAGGGGCCGATATAATTGTGATGGTCGTAAGTGCGTTGGATGGCTGGACACCACAGGACAATGACATCTTTGAAGAGATTTGGGAATGTCCTACAAGTCTCCAAGGAGGGACAGCATCCTATTCAAATGGGTCGTTGAGTTCCTCAAAGGTGAGAACACAGAAGCGGACATGGACAAATAAACTTACTGATTTGAATACTTGTTACTCATCTTATCTCTTCTTTGTGAGGAAACTGACCTTTGTCGTTGCGGACTGCAGATCGCGCAGGTGCCATCAATACTTGTTATCAATAAGGTGGACACAGCTTCTCCCACTTCAGTTATACTTCCAGAAAAAGTCAGCAACGCTTTTTCTACTATAGTCCCGACTTGTGCACCTCAGAGTGTGGGGTTAAAAAACTTGGAGGCCGCACTGCTGAAATTGGTTGGCTTTGGCGAGGTGACTACAGGTGGAAGGCAGTGGGCTGCAAATCAGGTATGCAATTCTTCTTCCACTAACTGCACCTGCTGTATATCGAGCTTTTTACTCTTCTCCTATTGTTCATGGACTGCAAAAGGTTTGCTCGTCGATGTGCGCAATAAGTCTAGTCGCCCGAGAATGTGGAAGGAGATAAGAGGGACAACTGTTTGCGGAGTAGACTTTTTGGTCTATGGTGGGGAATGAGAACACACGTGAATTCTCATGTTCAACGAGTGTATTCTACTCCTAAGGTTGGGATGAAGTATCTGGTTTGAACTTGTTATGTACCTGATTCTGAACGTAGATACTTCATCCCAACCCAAGGCGTAGAATGTGTTGATGATGCACCGCCTCCCTTCAGAAATGACAAACAGTGTCATTTGTGGTTCTGTCTTGCAGTTTCTGATACAATGGCATTTTTCTTTCTTGGATGTGATGGCAGAGACAAGCAGAGCAGCTTCTACGAGCCAGTGAGGCTCTGGAGCGTGTCAAAGCTTCGGCGCAACAGGATTTTCCAATTGATATGTGGACAGTAGATTTGAAAGAAGCTGCCATCGCTTTAGGGCAGATTAGCGGTGACGACGTTACCGAAGAGCTGTTGTCAAGCATCTTCAGCCGTTTTTGCATCGGCAAGTAAAGTCGTGCATTTAAGCTTCACAATAATGCAATGTCTGCGACGAGTCCAAGGAACGAGTTAATGACCAGTTCAAACAGCAAATTTCGCCTCTTTCGGTTGTGTGCTCGAACTTGAAGCTTCTCTACGCACTGGGACAACACACTTATGCGCGGATGTCGAAAAGCATCTGAAAGTGCCGGGCAAAACTTCAAAGTCAGATTATGAATGACCAAAATTCCGTGTCCGTTCACAAAAGGTCCTATTAGAATCTCCTGATTTCTGAGCTTTTGGCAATCATTTGCCAAAGATCGTCCCACATCAACAGCAACACTCGGATTTTTTCAAACCCTGAATGTCCCAGAAGGGCGATTTGTACTTCATCGAGCCCATCTTAACAAGTATGCTGGAGGGAGCCCTCTCGGAAAGAAAGTATCTCACCGGAAAGTATCAACAAAGCTCTAAAATATGGATGGCACGGCATGTGTCAGCAATTCAGCCTTGAAGTGTCAGTGAAACCCGAATACTTCTTGCAATGAGCTGCCAGACCTCGTGACAGCAGAAGTTCATCTGGAGTGTGGAGAAATGTTCTAGCGCATGGACCGAGTATCACAATGGCAACGGAGACCGAATGCGTACTGCGTTGAGTTTTCCGTGAGAACAGCACGACACTGCAGACGGAAGGTGGGCAGCGCCTACGTACACGCGAGGTCCTTCCATCTTATCCACAGCCCGGGTCTCGCAATGTGGCCGGCCTGCTCGACTTGGGCAATTGTTCAACCCCAGTCGCTGCGGCAGTAGACCACGTAAAGGGGAAGCGGTAGAGCAGGGGTCAGCGGATGTCGCCGTACTCTGAGTCAGGGCCAGGTTTCATCGTTGCACGTGAGAGAGGGGCATCGGCGGATCACACGGAACTGCGTTCCAGTAAATCATTAGGTAATGCGAGCCCATTGTTTGTCAAGAAATTGAAGGTTTTACGGTCGTTACCGCAAGCCGAAAAGCGCAGCTTAGAGGATCTTGGGCTGAAGACATCGAGACGCGAAGGACATCACGAGTAGAAAGTAGGATACTGGCAGTGAGTCAAAGTGGAGATGGATGTGGGAAGACAGGTGGAGAAGCGGCCGGGGGAGGAAGTCAAAAATGCCGCAGTCAATTTGGCCTCATCGGGAAACAATGCAGTGGTGTCCAGTGATCGACCTCCACTTCTTCCACTGAACAACGATGCCTCCTCGGAAGAGCGTCGAAACAGGGATGGGGAAGACAAAGAACGTCGCACCAGAGAAGCTGAAGAACGCGAGCGACAAAGCAAAGAACAACGAGCTGGATTTCATCCCCTACAGGTACGACTGAGCAGTTTATCCAAGGCCTGAACTTTGTCTGAAATAATCGTAATTCAACCCTGGGTGCGCATCGAAGAAATGTGATTTGTATACCCGATTTCTTAGTCTGTTCGCTTCTTTCACGAAGACAATCAGCTGATGGGGTTCTCCAATTCTCGTACGAGCTCATGGAAACAACTGCCACTCGAAGCTGTCTCAGATTGTCACTTCCAAAATGTTGCGGTGTATGAAGAAATATTCCCAGAGGTTCTGAAATTGGAGTTCAGTTGTACCTTTCTCTTCTCGGGGAAGATAATTCGGGGTCACAATCCATCTCTGATCCTGTGTTTGATGCCTTCTCTCTGATTCCCAGACCTAAATTTCTCGATGCTATTTGAGCAATGTGTTAGGTTTTTCTACGTGTGATAATTTACATTTCTGAGCTTCGGAACGCTGGGTAGGTGTGTATTTATCCCTGCAAGCTTTTCTTCGAGGGTCTCATCCCCTTTGTCGTAAGCGAAATTTAGACCACAGATTTTTGAAATGTAGCTTCCACAGAAAACTTACAGAAGCTATAGCCGTGTTGTCTGCCTCCAACTGTTGGTTAGGCGAGCGATTATATTCATGTCCAATATCCATGTTGTCTGCCTCCAACTGTTGGTTAAGCGAGCGATTATATTCATTTCCAATATCCAGTCAAAGTTTTATGTTGCCTACTTTTCGTGTCTTGCATTATATCACAGCTAGTACGCCTCGCGATTACCGTTATTTTGACTTTTGACTTCTGCCATACATGACATGCAACGTAGTTGTTGTTGTTGTTGACGAAAGTCAGTCATGAAACTTTCCCTCGTGAGGGCAAAGGAGATAGGTTGACCGTCGAGCTTCGAGGCTTATGGGTTGACTTAATTCTCCTTCCCCTCGTCCCATACTCGTTGCTCTATGGAAGGAGATGGGATCTATGATCGACAGGATGTCGTTCAAACATGAGATCAACTCTGCAGAATTTTCGTAGTGTTCAGTGGGTGTTTCATGTAGATCATTAGATACAAATCGAAGTCACTAATCATGCAGTAACCTTGAAGTAGATTGGCATATTAGGTCTGAAACTACAGGTCTTGCACTATTTTGTTAATATTGCAGTTAATAATGACATCAATGAAGGCCTTTCCTTGAAGCATAACTTGTTCCAATGTGTGAACTTGTGAACAGCATAGGTTTGTTTTCTGGTACACTCGGCGGACACCGGGAGTACGTTCTCAAACATCATACGAGGACAGTATGAAAAGAATTGCCGAGTTCAGTACGGTGAGTTCAGATGAATTAGATAGGTTGTTCTGTTTGTCTTCAGTCATACTTCGAAAAATGGAAATGTTGTTACTTTTCTTTGAAAGGCATAAGAGATGAGACATGCCAGAGTGTGGCATTGAGACATGCTGGAGTTGGGCATAAGCTTGGAGAAATTTGGGCAGTGACGAGCCTGGCTTATCACAACCGATTGCTAATGTAAATTCATCTATACAAAAGTAAAGCTCTCACATTAGTTGTGTAACGAGATTCAGGAATGTTTTAGATTTCTGTCATTCTCTACATGGAGGGAATACTTGTCGTACCACTTGCCTCTTGACGAAAGGAGACTTTGACAGGCTGAAGGGTTCTGGAGTTGTTACTGCCATTTAGCTCGCGCCTCTACGCTGCCGAATCCCACTGACTTCCATCTATTTAAGGAGGGGATACGACCATTGTGGGAGGTGAGTAGATCACATGCTATCAAGGGTGAACTGTTATTGATGGGATTCATGTAATTTTGTTCTTGTTTTATCATTAGCAATGGGATGAAGACAGACCTTTATTGCTCGCATCTGATGAACTTCGTATTTCAGGATGCTGCTAACCGATCTGGGGGGAAATGGATTATACGATTCAAGAAATTGGTCTCAGGAAGATTTTGGGAAGATTTGGTGAGATAATTTCACCTTGAAGATCTCCTCCCTGTCCATTGAAGTTTGGTGTTCAGATTGATGTAATACTTCGACAATTTAGCCTTTTGACTAGAGGCTTGATGTAGATCAGATCGCGTAAATTCCGCCGTTGGCACATCTACCAGTTCAGTCTTTTGAGTATCTTTAAGCTACCTGATGTCAACCTAGTTTACTCATATGAGATGAACAAAACATGACACGAGTATTTAGTTCCACAGGTACTGGCCATTATAGGGGACCAGTTAGAGTACGGTGATTCTGTATGTGGTGCTGTTCTGAGCATTCGTTATGGAGAAGACATCCTCAGCGTGTGGAATAAGAACGCGGGAAATAATCAGGTATGATCCCAACTGGGAACATATTTTTCAAATCATGTAGCTCTTGGTGGCCTTGCGATCTGCCCATCGGTGTGTAAGGATACACAAAGGACCTGTTGTAGTGTTGTGGCTTGTACACATCCTGTGCAAAAGATTTGGATAATTTTGTTGTCTTGACGCAATTTCTTGTAAGTAATGATCAGGCTGGATGTGGACTCCATATCACTTACTACTAGTAGATTTGGTTTAAACTACAAATGGTTAACCTTTCGGCAAGGCTCATTTTTGGTGATGTCCTGTTGCAGGCTGTTATGGCTTTAAGAGATTCAATCAAGAGACATTTGCATCTCCCCGTCAGCTATTTGATGGAATACAAACCACACGACGCGTCCTTACGTGACAACTCCTCTTTCAGAAACACGTGGTTGAGGGGTTGATACTAATCATGTACCATGCAGTGAAGAGGGGCAAACGTAGTCTGAGAGTTTCCTAGAGTTTGTTCAGTTCTAGTTAACACCGGTGGTTCTTCTACAATGCTCTTCGTAGTTCAGTGTACTCTATACCGCAAGTCTTGAAGCAAAGTGTACTCCGTGAAGCTGTGCTGAAGATATCGGGAGCGTTACGCATAGTTCCAGCACTTAAGCTCCTTTTCATCTTTGAAATCAAGTCTGCGAGAGATACATTCTGTAGGAACAGGATTGTTTACAGCCATATTTCTAATGAAAGTGGTTCATTTTGGGTGCGCATTCTCAGCTTTGAAACTGGGCCATGAGCATGGTTTTGTACTTCGCAACATCATTCCGAGGAATTGAGTCTATGTTTGCACCCAAATCTCATTGATTCTCTGTCTCTCTATTCCATTTTTTTAATTTGTCATTTATTCGTCTAATTTTTCATTTTATCAAATTTTACAGTTCATAGCAGGATTAGAGAGATTTGTTTGATGGACCACTGCGGAAAGTAATTTGTCTGATGTGACCCTTCAGGTTTCATTTTACCGGATGGATCCCATGAACGATGCACCGTCATCCATGTTCTAATAACAACTAGAGAGAGTACAACGAGTCCACTGCGGGTGCAGTGGACTCGTTGCAGACAGAGTGTATTTCGCACTCCATCACACTCACTTGTTTTTATGTTATCATTTTGTATCTGGCCACTCTCCAAGGAGACGAGCAAAGAAATGTTCATCCGGAGTTTATTTGTTCGTCACAAATGGGTGATCGTGAGACTTGAGCTCGGACCATGCAGGGTTACGGAAGGAGTGTGCAGGTGGGAGGCAACAGAAAAATTCGCGAATCTTTGCGATCGGAAGAATTGAAGCACAACAAATTACACTTCGAGCAAAATAGATCTTTGTACTCGTGATAATCCACCAGAAATTATAATCAGGGATTGACCTACGATTGTAGTTCCCGCATTGTAACTAGTAGTAATCGTAGTTACAAGATGTCACACCGTTGTTGGGGTCCCATCGGGGGTACCATCAAGCAAATCTCTCAGCAGTATTACATTATTGAACTTCTCAATCAAACAATTTTACCTATATGCATGCTATGTCAAGTCAGTCTCATCTATCATACGAAATTTTAATTGAAATTATTCATACAAATTCATAAAGATTTAAATTATAAATTAAATTTCAATTTATATTATTTCTCTATCGATCAAATTGACTCATATCATGTAAATTGATGATTATTTTAAAATATTTTCATAAATTATACACTTTTATATATGAGAAATATATAATCAAATTTTGTCTGGCATTCAAAAATTAGTATTTTTTATATTTAATATAATTTCTACAGTTTAAATCATAAGATAATTTAGAATTTAAATGAAAATTTAGTAATTTACTAATGTTTATGAAGACTAATCGATAGGTTAAAAAAAATCCAGTATAAATGTTTGTTTGAAAATATTCATGATGAGATATATCATTATAAATTTTTATTTTTTGTTTAAAAGAAAGAAATAAAGTAGCGAGTTATCATTGGTCATAGAATAATCAATTGTAAAAATAATTGTATTATTCATAATTTGAAATTAATCAAGTTGGATTTAAATAATATATTAAATTATTTATTTAAATTTCGAAATATTCTTTCATTTCATTCATAAAAAAAAATATTGATTTTAATATCACAATTCAAGATGACTGCGATGAATTGATATTGAAAAAATTTAAAAATTCATTTAAAAAGCCAAAATCTCATAATAAAATTTGAGCTGAATACTAATATGCAAAAAAGTATTTCTGTGAAATGAAATCGCTGATTAATATCATATATGTATTGATTAAAATCAAATGGATCTACAAATTGGAAGAAGAACTTAATGATATTTTTCAAATCAAATCGATGATTTACATTATATACTTCATTTCATATAAATTTTATAGATCATTTCATAGGTCATTTCCTAATAAATTTTATTTAACAAAATTTATTAAATTTGACTACCCTGTGCAATTCTTGGCAGATTTTGTTATAATGTATGATAGATTGATATTCTCACACACATCTTATAGATCTTTGCAATAAATAAAATCAGATGTATCAAAATTAAACATTAAAAAATGATATGTATATTAATTTAAAAATTTAGATTTTGTATAAAGAATGTTTATTTACAAAATTTGATAAATTCTTAGAAAAAGGATTGAAAAATGTGTTTAACTTATATTCATATGTAAAAATGAAATAATGAAAAGTTTAATTTCATCATTATAACAGTGAATGTACATTGAATGCTTATGTTGATAAATAAACAGTCTTACATCATTAGATATTTAAATTTATAAAAAATTGAATAAAATATGAAGAATTTGTAAAATTGCTCAAAATATTTTTAACAAAATTCTTGTAGAAAATTAAAAAACTTGAAAAAATGTTGAAAGAGTACAATGATATTTAACATTTGGTTGACAAGTTTAACATGACACCTTCTAAAGAATTATAATATATTTTATCATCATATTTTAAAGCATGAATAATTCATTTTATAATATTAAGAGTAGAATCATCTATTTCAACTAGTATAATTTTTTTTGCATAATCTCATGTAATATCTAATAGTGTTAAAATAGAGTTAAATAAATTCCATAAAGTAATATATTCATTAAAATATTATTAAAATATTTAATTCAATTTAAAAATATCAATAATCATATTTTTTGATAGTCTACTCAACAGTGATATATCATTGTTAAGTTATTTTGTCACATGTACATAATTTTGCTTTCAAAACATTATAAACTTTTAATTAAGATATATTTGTTTTTACTTCTTTGTGTATGTTGTACATTTTGATTTAATTGATTGTAAGACTTTGCCATGGTAAATTTGCTTATAAGTTATTTGAATTCCCTTTATTTGAAAATAAATTATAACAAATTATAATTTATTTTTCAATTTTAATCAAAATTTCACCAAAGATTACAATTTGTTCTACTAATACTCTCAATTTACTTTTCTTTCAAAAAAAATAAGTTCAATTATTCACTTTTATCACAACTCAATATGGGATTTCAATTTTTGAGTCCATTGTTATAATCGAAATTAGATTTCACATGAATATAAATTTACATAACTTTTAGTTTTTCCTGTTTAATCTTTGATAATTGAAGTAAACTCAAAACAGACATATTATTTGATCTTCTAAGATTTTTTATTTTCATAACATACTTTTTTCAATCTTCAGTGATCAATGATGGTATTGCTTATATGTTAAATGTTTTAGAATCAATTACAGTCTATATCTTCGTATAAACTTCAAACTACCAATTTTTACTCAAGATTAATACAACTGTATAAAAATCAGGTTAAAAATAAATGCATTTTATAAAATTTTGCAACCATCAAATCATAGTAATAAAAATCATGTAATGTTGATCAATTAGTTGTTCTAAAACTCGATTGATCAAAAGTCTTGTAACAATATTTTAGTTATTCAAATTTGAATGTCAGAATTGATATTTCATTACATCTATGCATTTATATTTTTTCATAAGCTTTTTACAATCACATTTTATTCAAAATCAATCCAATTGAACTAACATTAAACATAGTACAGAAATTGCTTGATGTAATCTTTTGTTGGCTAAAAAAAATTTAAATAAAAACACTGTGATACTTGTATTGATCAATCAAAATGATTTTTTAGATGTGAATATTAAACTCAAGTTCATGTAAAACTATATACTCTATCATCTCATAAATTTCTTTCTCCTATTACTATATGTCTATAAAAATCTCTACTTTCTTTATCTCAAATCTCATTTCGATTTCATTTCAAAACTCCATGTTTTATGAGATAAAAAATTTTACACTTTTCTTATCAGGTCATTAGTTGAAGACAAATATACTATAATCTATTCACTGGTTTTGAATGTTTTTGAATTTGACACTTTGTTTCAGTTGTATAATAATTTATTTCGTTTTGTATCATATAATTACTATCATTTGAGTATTCTTTGTAGCTAAAATACCTTTCATTACTTTTAAATTATTTATAGCAGTTTTTATATCCTTGAAATTCCTTGTATGAATTTTTGTAGTCAACTCTGAAGAATTGGTAAAGTTATATTTGTCCAATATTTCTACTCATGTAGATGTAAGTTATTTAGCTATTTTAGATAGTATTTGTGTTGGTACTGGACAATATTGACGTTACTTGTAGTAAATTACAATTTAATCAACAATTAGAAATATGCTTGTGTTTACTAAATGTTATTATCATATAAGAAAAAAATAAAAATATTTAATGATGATAGATAAAAGTTGTTTGTTTTATGAAAATATGTCTATAATCTTCATTATGAAAGTTAAAAGACATGACATTTTGCACTAAATCAGGTTATCAATTACACAACCAAGCACAACATATTATCACCTATGTAGCTTATGATAAAAAATATGAGAAAATCAAAATATATAATGGTTTCAGTCAAGTTGATATCTTGATCGTGATTAATATTGAAAAAAATCTGAAATACATCATGTTATCATACAAGTTTTGCACAAATACTGTTGAAAAAAAAGGTTTCTTAAGATATACAAAATTAAAGTTTTGATCCGTTAAGTCTAGTTTCTAAAGCAAATTTCTTCGGTTGGCAAATTGGTCTAATTCGTTGTTAAGAGATCTCCTCCCATATATGTATCTCATGTTTGGAATCTCTTCTATATCTCCAACATTAATCAAGAATGCCAGATCAAAATCACACCAAGCAAATCCGATGCGCTTAATGTTACTACTTTGAGAGACTTCAAAAGTGCGAGAACTTCGATTCAACTGCTGCAGAATCTATCAGAAGGAATATATATAGATGGAATCTAAAAATGTGAAAAAGATATTTCAGGGCGTACATGAAGAGGCTCAACACAGAAACAGTAAGAATTAAATGACAACCGTAATTTCTACTGATGCTGGCTGTAGTGACAAGACAACCAGATCCACAACTGATACGCGAGGCTAGTCGTGATCCTTCTGGGTCGTAAAAAGTCATGCGAATAAACGTGAGCAGGCTTCAGGCAGAACAACCACAGACCTGATCAACGTGAAACACTTGGTGAAAACTATAAACAGGACGATCGTGAATCGCGATAATCGAAACTGATTCTGTACATTGAATGATGCATCCTGAATAACCTGCAGGTATCACTCTCACTGTGTGATCTTCACATGATAGTGAGTAAAATTGGAGACTTCAAGTCTCTGCCGCACATCTAAACTAGAAGATAACTAAACTTCACGCTTGAATTCTTTCTTTTTCTGTACTCTGGAGCCATCTATGTCCTAGCAAGTTCTGCAGCCTTCTGTAACTTTCTCTGCATGGTTCTTGCTTCCTTATCTGTAGGTGGTTTGAAATTGTAGCAACCTGCGGAGAGCAACCGTGGCAAAAAATAGAGATGAGTTTCACGGCAGAGACTGAAAACAAAAGTGGTATGTAAACAACAGTAATATCCTACAACCCGTCAGCACCTACGCATGATTATTACAGAATTCGATAAACATCAATGCAACCTTATGCAGCAACAATCTGATAAGAGAAATCAATAAGCAACGCCTATATTTACGGAGGTGAGATGCAAACCTGTGCCCGATTCCCCTTCTGCCCCCTCAAAACCTTCTGCAATCGCAATGATGCTTCCATCCTGCAAATTGATTATTGATTTTAGCTACTTAACATGAACAATCTCATGAGTTTATTAAATATGGAAAAATAGAAAGAACATGGGCTTCTCCACAGGTTCAACATGATTCATTCCAGAAAAAAAAGGGAAACTTATTAGACTCAACCTTCTGGTACTTTTCACCAAGCACCCAATCCTTGTTTGGAGACCTATTAACCTATTAAGCTAATCACGCAGGACATTATGTGAATTGGGTGTCAAGGAACAGCCATCTCTTACCATGTCATATTTTATTGACTGATTACGCCAAGTTGCCAAGCGAGGAACAAGAACTCTTCCTGAATAGATAGACCATGATCAGACGTGGACAAGGAGCTCAACTGCATGCCTCAGGAACTCTAAGCTTTCAGACTTGGCACTTTGGTTAGATAATCAATCACTTCAAAATTGCTTCCTCCATTCAAAAAGTTCTCCTTGCACTGACTGACTGTCGGGATGAAACAGGAGGGAAAAAGCCACAAGAACATCACAATATTATTCCACTCACTCACGATGAGTACGTACCATGTCGTGATTTCTTCAAGCCAAAAGCTTCCGGCACTTTGGTCTTATCAACAACTCTCGGCGCGGGGGGAGGAGGTGGAACAATCTGTGCAAAATATCAAAGATCATAAAGATCACAATTGTTTCATCTAGAATTCTTGCCTAGACAGAATTCTCGGGCGTGGAATCTAAACATTTGACCGCAGAACTCGATCCTTCACATGCGGGGCAATCCAATTTCAGCCTGCACTCTGTAAACTACGAAGCACAATTCACTTACAGAGGCACTGAATTTGTTCTTTCTCCTTTGAGGTTGGCTTTTTTGTATGACTCGATTGAGGACTTTCGGTGAAGCTCGTCGACTCCCCGAAAATGACCTCTCTGCAGTATTTTTCAAGCGCTTCGTCGACTTAGCCGCCTTATCAGCATCTTCGAGACCTTGGTTAAGCCCACCATCTGCCGCGTCTCCTTGGCCTTCGCCAGAAGTCTGCAAATCAGTCTCTCTGTCGTGGTCTTTCCTCCTCATTCTGTAGTTTCTCCTGCTCGAACTGCGCTGGTGCTTCTGACTGATAGGAGCTGGAATCTCTCTAGGTACCTGCAGACAGTGATCTGTTCCTCCTTCGATATGGGTTTCTCCACAAGCAGAGGTACCAAGCGAGTCTTTGTGCAATTTACTCTTCAGCTCTTCGGGACGAGAACCTCCACTATGATGATTCATACCGGTGTCTTTCTCTACAAACCCGACTCTCTTGGTGCTCTTTTTTCTCCTGCCCTTATAATATTTTCTAGACTTCCTGCTCCCCTTGTTGTTACCAGGTGTGACGACTTGTTTATTTTCCTTGCACCCGTTCTCTTCATCTGTTTCTAGTTTCTGATCTGACTTCATTGCATGGTTCGACTCTGTACCTGCTTCATTCCGACAAGCTACAACTGGCACCCTAAACTCTTTAACGTCCTTGTGAAAGTACGTTACGTCGGCGCCCCCCTTGGGTTCCCTATTTGACTTCAAAACATGGATACTTTCCTTGCCTCCTTCATCTCCTACAACTAGAACTTCGCTGCTCTCTTTGCCTGATTGGCTCCGAGAAGAGCTTTCAGCAACACTTCTTCGTCTACTTCTCCTCAAACTCACAAAAGAAGTCATCTGTGAGTTTGACGAGAAGACTTCGGTAGCAAGCAGACCGTCGTCCCTCGGCAACCCGGGATCACTATCGACAGAGTGTATGCTTGGTCTGCCAAGAGCAGCGCCTACGCTTTTCTTTCGTTTTTTCCGAGTTGTGCTTTCATCAACAGCCAATTCCTTCGCTGAAACAATTACCTCCTCCTGGCATGGCTCTACGGCTGTGTCAACAGATTCCCGATCTATATCATTCAACAAAATCTCCGACACCGGGGCATTAGTACGGCTCTGACTAGGAAGAACTGAAGGGCCTGCATGGCTGAGTATATTGCACATGAGAATTGTTTCCTCAGTCGGGCCAGGTGTTTCCGTAGAATTCCTCGACCGCTTCTTGCTTTCTTGTAACGGGGTGCATGGTATAGAATCCTGCATCAGGCCAGCCTCTGTTCCAACTACAATTGGTTGACCTGAATCGCTTCCATTCGCGTCATTTCCTATCGCAGCTGTTGCAGGCAACCTGATCTCTAAGGACGAAGCATGAGTTTCACACAACATCTTGCTGGGTTTCTCTTCCCCTTCTTCTGATACCGGCCCTTGAAACGGCCTCTTAGTCGTAAAATCACTACTGTCTTCTGATAACTCGGCACATCCTGCTGCAGGCTCATTTCCTCTATTAGGAAACTCAATTGAGCTCACTTTGATGTTCAAGTCTGCCTTGCTTTCTCCATCCTGACTGGCCCCCGTTGTGACATCCAGATCAATGCCCGTGCAACCACAAGATGCACAGGTTAGCTTCAAGTAGCTGACACCAGGACAATTGCAATCCGTATCCACCGCTCCTACTACAGCTACGTGAACTGTGCCTTCTTGTGTAACATTCGCTTCGTCACACAACTTAAGCCCTGCTTCATACTCCTGATCTCTGGAATTTCCATCACCGAGAAATTCTCCCCAATCAATGTTAGGCTGGGCTTCTTCATTAGGAGTTCTTTCTGAGACATCGAGATCGACGGCAACGGCACCTTCAACACTCACTTCGTCCTTCGGAGTGGGAGAGCTGACAACATCTTCTAAGCCATCTCCTATCTCATCACCTTCCACAAGAACCACTTGAGTAGCACGTCTCTCGCTGAGCCGAGATGGCCTTGGATCGTGACTAGAGACTTGGTTTCGTGTATTTATTGCATCGTAACATGAGTCGCTACCATTTCTGGTTTTGTTGTGATCTCCCAAACGTACAGAATGCTCTTCGCCACCTTCCGGAAGAACTTCTTGAGTAACCGCCCTTTCAACTAACCGAGATGGCATCGGGTCGTGACTAGCAGAGTGATTTCCTGTATTTATTGCGCCGTAACACGAGTTTCTATCATTTCTAGCTCTGTCGAGGCCCTCTTGAGTATTAACAGACTGGGGGGCTGAAGTAGCGTCAGATTCAACTCCACCTTGCAAATTGTTGCTTGAGGATAGTCTACGTAGTGCTATCATCCGCGCTTCATCAGGAGCAATAAACAAAGATGAAGACAATATAATACGTACTGGATCTCCTTCCAAAGGTGCCGTATTCAGGAGAACCTCCCTCCGATAGTTCCTTGGGTCCTGTGCCTGCCCGGTTGCATTGCTGGGAACGGCAGAGGATGAAGGCAAGTCCGTCTTATCATCACTCAAAGAGCCCATGCCGAAATTTGAAATCATGTAGGACCAGGCGGAAGGAAAGCCGATCATGAAACACTGAACGAGCTGCAAACCAAAGACGACAACATCCGAAACGCGTGACTTCATAAATGAGTTGTCAGTGGTTCAAGGTGGAAACGCAAAGTTGTGGACCGAGAGCAGAATATTAGAAAAGGGTTTATAGGACAACAGATTATGGACGGAAAATGCCGTAACAAAGTCGAGAAAGAACGAAGACTACTTCATGATAGGTAAGAAACCTTACCGCCTCGGGAAATCCGTTCGCAACAGATTTCGATACATTTATCATGCCCATAAGGCCCACCTCCAGCCCATGGCTGGTTTGAAGCCTCCACCTCTCGAGACGCTGTACGATAAGCCCGGATTCGAAGTAATCACTTTCTGACATCCTGGACAGGATAAAAAGAATCAAGACGCAAGATTACTCCGTAGCCATCGATCCAAAAGTCCAGCCAATCACCCAAATGAACTTTTGTAATATGGATGATAACTAAGATATACAGAACCAGCCTTTGGCTGAGCAACAAAAGCCAGTGCTGTGTGCTTTCCTCATCGAGATTAACGGTGAGACAATTTACCCAGCACTCTTGTATCCACCAATAACTACTTGCGGTACAGCAGAACAGGATGCAGAGCCGTTGCTACTTGAGGGTCTTTTTAAGAACCATCCGTACAAGATCACCTGCGTGAAATTCGCTTCAATCAGGATCTCTCTGAAAGCTATCGAGCTGCAGAGCTGTGAATTGAAAGGACGTCATCAAGAGCGACACTCTGCTGGCTGGTGCATTACCTGCTTCACGGACGCTTTCGTAGCGGCTAGAGCCCTGTGCATTGACTCAATTCTTGATAAGTCGGGTGAGCCTTTCCTCGACACAGAAGACGGCTTCGACATAAACGCATTCGCTGTGGCTCTATACGGTAAATCATCGGACAATGAAAAACAAGGAGTTCCACCAAGCGCCCGTATGCGATCATCGAAGTCATCTCCTCCGTCGTTTCTTCCTAAAACACTTCCACTCGGGTGACAGCATCCGCAACCCTCTTCCGCGTGCGAAGGTCCGGTTCCAGCTTGAGTATCTGGTACAGAGGCTCCTCTGCGATAGCGCACGTTTTCCTCTGAAACTTGGGCTTCACTGTCTTCACGGAGATCACGTCCTTGGCAGTGACCACAATCGCATGAAGACTGAGTTGCAGTTCTCCTATGACAAGACGTTTGAGCAAACTTCGCCGCTCGCCGGGCACTTTCAGCGTGCTCGTCATGCACGGAAAACCTTTCATGGAAGTGGCAAGAAGACCTACAATTGAAACTCGAGTGAGACCCATGCCTGCCATTTGGGAGATGGAATGGAGTTGCCACAGAATTGGCCGTTACGCCGGCATTATTTCGGGAAAACGTAGCCTCACAACACGGCTCTGACCTGCCCAACGTTCCAGAATCTCTACGAGAATGAAGGCCTCCATGCATTGCCATCAAGGTTGCGCGTTGTTTACAGCTTCCTTCCCTCCTGCCAAGAGCATGACTTCGTTGGATGTTATCCATGCTCTAAATCCCCACTACGAATATCCTACCAGGTAATCCTTCCTAGCGTGCTCTGTATCTGTTATCCTCCCAAGACAAACAACCTTCTCTTTGTACATGGCGGCATTATCCTTCAGAATGACAAGTAGCTCGAAGCAGCACCTAACCAAAACCGCCTTTGCAGATGGCAAAGTTCAGTTGTAATTCGAGGCCCTACAAGCTACGGACATCAGAACACCCGCGAGAAGTCAAAATGAGTCCAATTGTGGTAATCTCATGGCCGATATTATCATGACAGTAGAATCGGTTACAGCCTAAATACGTTCGGAGAAATTGAAGTCCATTATATGCAGCTCAAAACTCGCACGAGCAAAACGATCCGCGGCAACCTTCGTCATATTTCCACCCTATTCAATCACCGCGAGACCTAACAGAAAACACGAAAACGTAGAAGTTCCCGATACAGAGAATGAATAAAAGCTGGAGCCGAAACAACCAAATAAAGAAAAGAAACCGACCGCACTACATCTAAGACATCACCAAGTGAGAAAGACATGAAGCGCGTTGGCGAAGACTTACATAGACAAGGAAATCGAGTCCGACGCGCTAAATCTATATGCAATCCAACTCAAGAGCAGCAAGAAACCACAATGGAAGCTCATCAAACAGCGCCAAAAGAAACCCAAGCCAGGGGAGCGGCAAGCACCTTAACTGGACGTCAATCACAACCTAACGGCGAGAATCGAAACCACGAAGCGAGGACTTCGGCGCGAGCAACAAACTGCAACAATTGCACCAATGCTCTCGCATTCATCAAGAACAGCCAAGAGCGCGGTGGAGGGAGAGATGCCCTCACCCGCAGGAACCATTCAAGCTTCAAAACAGATCCAGCGCCAAAACGAGGCAACACCCTCGCTGCCAGTTTCCACCTGTCGAGGTCTTGACCTGTCAGCGTTACCGGCAACGGAGGGTAAATAGACAGGAGCGTTCGGGCTTCGTCGGTGATAACCGGTCACCCGGTTAATCTATGTGAAGGAACCGGTGAGCTCGGGGGCGTGAGGTCCTAGAAAGATCATGACCCTCGCACGTGTGATGCTAAATATAATGCTGCTCGCGGCATTAGAATTGGAAGAAAAGTGGAGAGTGTAGACGATATCATTTACCTCTTCACGGTTCACGTATTGTAATTTATGTAGGGCATACAGTATTTGTCATCACGATCGAAGCCTAGAGATCTGGTTTCTTTTCTGCCCCGATTAATGGTTATTCCCTTGGCACCATGTCAATACCTTTTGATTTTCTGTAAACATTATACACTTCTAAATATGATCGGAACCTCACAACACCATTGCAAATATGTTCAGGTTACTTCCTCTCAACTACTGTGTTAATGCTTAATCCAAAGAATATTGACTGTAATACAGAATATTGATGATGATTTTATAACGAATTTCATAAGTGGTAATGAAATATAAAATTCATTAAAAATATTGATGGTGTTTCATAGAATCATTCAACTTGCTTAATACGAACTACAATGCATAATTCATGTTCAAATCTTACATTTAAACATTTCTAAAGTAATTTCATCAATATAATTTAAAATTAGTTCCAGAAAATAAAATAATTGTAATTCAAACTTTCAAATTATATATATATGTTTAGAACCTTTACATGTTTACAAGATATCATAGCTTCCACTTATGGAGCAAATTAATAAATGAAATATATATATATATATATATATATATATACACACACAATAATCATACACACTCAATTTCATCTTTGATCTTAAATTTCATAATATTGAAGGAAACCAAACTTCTTTAATCCTTAAGATTCATACTTTAAAAAAGTATGAATCTTAAGATGTCACTATGTTTAAGTTTGTAACTTTTCTTCCAGTCCTCAAAAAAATATTGAGCATGCTTCTCTTTGAATGTTTTGATGACAGGTTTCAAGAACTCAAAAGAATCTAAAAAATAATTTTAAAATCAAAATTGAATAAAGAAATGTATAATTTCAGCTTGAACATTAAATTTTTTAACATATAGGATGATGGTATCTAAATTAATAGTGAAAAGCGGATATTTTTTTATTGTAAATCTTACTATAAAATTAATTTTTTTTTATAAAAATATATTGTATTTAGATTTTCTTGTGAATTAAATTCATACATAAAATTCAAACTTCTAATAACGTGAAGATCAAAATTTTCTCTATAAAAAATCATGATTAGAAATTTTACACATATACGAACAAATCAATTTACATGTTATTGTAACTATTTCAAATTGTATCATAAAAGAAAAAATTTATTCTATAATTTGGAAACAAAGTTCACTGACATGTTAAAACTAGTCATTAAAATAATTGTGATGGAAAAAAAATTATTAAAAGAAAATTAATACAAATTCTTTAACATATAGCAAACATGAAACTTTAGATAATACATAGATTATTGAGGATTGGAGACAGTATATTTCACTAAGAATAGAATTATATAAAAAATTGTTATATCAAAATTAAATTATTTATAACATCATGATTTGATAAATTTGGTTTAATTTTAAATTTCATGATATTTTTAACATGGAAAAAAAACTTATTCAAAGATGATATAGAAATTTTGAAGATGTATGCATATTATTGTTGGCCTTTCGTTTATAAATATATTTCCTCCAAGGACAAAAATATAAGATTTTATCACACTATGCATTGCACTTATTGTTTATCAATTCAAACTGATAATTTCATTGATTCAATATTAATTCAAAATTGATTTTGATGCAAACTAGACTTTGAAGTCATAAATATGTCTGAAACATCACATGGATGCTAGTTTCTTAGTTATGGTATGGTTTTTTCAGATTTAAATATTGGGGTTTTGTATCTATTTGCGATATCTTCACTTGGAGTGTATGGAATTATTACGGCAGGCTGGGCAAGTAACTCCAAGTATGCTTTTTTGAGAGCATTACGATCTGCCACTGGCAAGCCAAATTTAAAGTGCATTCAAAGCTCCTGTATTCACACAGATTTTAGTTGATTTTACTTTTTCTTGATCTTTGCCAATTCAATTGTATGAAAGATTTATAAAAATTTGTAGATTGATAATCTTATTCTTCTTGTCATTGTCTTGCGGTATCAAATCTTTTAGCTCTCCCCCAACACATCACAGCACTACTGTGGAAGTGAAGCCGGTTTTTTGTCCTTTTGATCTCTGATTTGTGAAACTAAATCACACAAAGTGCAATTAATGATTGATCTTTCATATATATTATATTATTTATACTAACCAGTCAAATCTTGCATGTATAGCTTGAAATCATGGAATAAGTACTGCATCATCTTGTGAACAAGTGATGTAGTATTTCAAGTAAACGATGATAACAAATATGTTTTTCCATGAGACCACAAGAAAACATTAGACATCATTCTGATTTTTTCGGTTTGATGATTCCGCATCTATTTTCTTTCGGTTTGCAGTTAGATGTTATTTTGATTAACGATGTCTACATTTGGAGGTTTAACAATATGCATTCACACTTGTTTCCTTCTACGATTATCACATGATTAATATGATTGTTTATAAATAAAAATTGCTCAATCATTTTCTTATAGAGTCTTAAGCAGATGGTTTAGACATGACATCTACAATATTGATGGGAAATTTAAGTTCAAGGTAGGTGTAGATTTTAATCCAAAGCGTTAAAGTCGTCTTGGACTGCATAATCTTTGAGCTGAACCGACCCCACTGTATAATCACCAACATTCTCTTCAAAAGGCTACAAGGCAACTTATTTAATAGAGCACCAGCCTTAAAATGGCGTAGAACCTCAACACTATACACATGAACGAGCAATATCACAAAGAAGTTTCAAATTTTGCAGATTGATGTGTACATTTGACATAGAGTAACCACAGTATTGAGCACGATGCATATGTTGAAGATACATTGGATGATTGTCACAAGAAACCATGGATTTTTGGCTGGCAACGATGCAATACATTACATGATTCGTGTCTTAGAACACTCCTCATGTGCTTTCGTTTCCCTCGATAGAACACTATGAGTACAGGATTGCCATGGACCGGCTTTGCGGAACTAAACAACAAGTTGAAGGTTGTTCCAATACACATTGAGGCACGTCAAGATGCCATACACTAAGACTGGGGGCCCCGACGACTACGAACACGGTCGATGAACGAATCACAGATTGAGGTTTCTATGCTCACTGACAGTCGAGATCACGAAATCGCTCTAGTGCTTGAAATTGGACCTATGGTACTAAACAAAATGCTTGAAGTGCTTGAGCTCAGACCATGAGAAGAGCGCGGCCGCTGCAGAGATGAAGCCCGATATTCTTTCGAGTTCACGATGATCAAAGAATCCAAACCGCAATGCACTCATTGGAGAAACCAACTTTCAATTCATTCCGTCAAAAGATGGTGTATTTCTATAATCGGCGTAACGAACGAAATGCCGAGCTACATCATGAGTGGGGAGAAGAGATGGTTTGAACATCAGTGTGATGGTTAGAAACGTATGGGTACATAGTGGATGATTTTTTAAAGTCCCCAGCCATTTTCATCATCTAGTACTCCTGTCCATTACCCTCATGTGGACTACATGCAGCAACCATCTATATTACAGTTCCCACACTCGAACTCATAACAGCTAGAAGTCAACAACAATGCTAACTCAACCTCCCACTTTTAAGCAATCCAACACTCAGCATCATGAATAACTCAAGAATTTACGGCTGGCAATTGAATTTTATGACTCTGATTACATTACCAGCTGATAGCAATAGATCAAGCTTCAAGACTCAACGTTAAGACTGGACATACAAACCCAAAACCTGAGCCAAAGTGGCTGGGAACTCATTAGCCGCAATAAACATACTTAATTCTTACATGAAAACCACACTGATTATTTTTATGTTGTTCTCAACTAAGAAATTCAATATATACTTATCCAGCATTTGTTAAAATGATATATTTTATATAGTTAATTATATATATATATAGTTGACTCTATCTTTATATTGCATAATTCTAATTTTTATTAGCAAAAGACAATTAAATCTCGACATCCATTAATTATTTTCCAACTTACACATCCATATAATATCACATAAATAATATATTGTAAAATCTTAGAACAATTCAAGTTTTGATTTCAATAAAAAATGACATCTCACATTTCATACGAATATTTTTATTTTATTTTATTTTATTATCTACAAAGCATAAATTTTTATACATCAAAATATTGACATAATAATTTATAGTTTAGACAATATTTTTAAAAAATATAAATTAATCAATTGAGATTCTATACCTTCTGCAAAATCTATCAATCTAATAGGATGAATTTATCAAAAATATTTTGGTTAAATTCTATCATTTAGTGCAAAATTTTGAGTTTCATCAACAAGAAATATTTCTGTCAATTTTGAAATAAAACACTGGCTTCACATATATCAAAATATCTCTGTATGGCACATTATTAAATCCAGTAAACAATATATTTTGCAACTTTTATCAATAAGTAAAATAAGTACATATCAGTTGGAAAAGACTACAAAATCTTTTACTTTCTAATAATCAGTTTCTTGAAAATATACTTTCTTATTTACAATAATATTACAGATTTTAACATTGCTTACTCCATTATTTTTCATATCTAGATAATAAATAGAATAATTTTGTATAGAAAATAAGTTTTTTTTTAAATAAATGAGGACAAATTGTGGAATCAAAAGAAATTCAAATTGATCATCCTTTTGAGATTCAAATCAAACAATATCAAGAATTTGATTACATTTTATGAAGAAATAAACATTAAATTGCTTAAAAGTTGAACAATTTCAATTAAAAATGTGTATCATGATTTGGATTGATTCAAGAAATTAGAAATATTCTTCATCATTACACGATTGAGTATCTACATAGTTTTCTAGTCTTTGCCATTTTCTCTCGACTCATTATAAACATGTTTTTGCTCATAATCTGATAAATGTCAAATTTATATGTTTTCTTTTGTAATTTTATTTTATCAGTTTGAGTTTCAATCTCGAGTTCCCTCTAGTTTTTTTAATTACAGAAATTTTCACCATTTTCAAAATAAACTTATAAAAATCCTGAGTAATCAATATTAAACAATACATAGTATTAGCTTCTAGAGACAAAAGGATAAAAACAAGTATTGTAACATGTCACTATAAACATATCCATATCAATATTTTGAAATATAGATAAAATGATTTTCTTAAGTTCATCACTCATTTTACAAAAATCTAGTTCAGTTGTAAGTAACACATTTTATTTTCAAAAAATTTCAAGTAACTATTATTTATGTGTCTTATTTTATATTATCATACTTTAACAATTTCAAGTTAAGATATAGTAATTTGACTTCATCAATGATAATACTGCATTTTGGTATGTATAAGATTTTGTATTTATGTGCTTTCTTCGTAATTAGATCACATATTTTGATAACTAACTTGACTTTCTTAAAAATTTTCTAAAAATGATTATATGTTTGATTATCCAATTTATAAATTATATTTTTATAAAATACCTTCAACTTTACAAGTTCATATCATGTACAAGGTTATAGTCTCAAACCATGAAAGTCATAACTAAAAACTTCAAGCAAGTCAACTTAAAAAAAAGTTTTTTTTTAAACGTTCTTGCAATTGATAAATCATCGTAGAAACTCTAACAACAAAGTAAAATTGTTCCCTTTTTCGAATTGCTTCAAAATCAAAATATGTAGTAAAAAAATATTGACAGTCTATTTTTTCAAAATTGTATTGTTTTAATATTTTTAATGAAGTTTTTGGGCCTCAAAGAATTGTTAAACCCTTTATCTTGAACTTGTCTTTGATTTGATTTATCAAAACTAGATATTGATTATGTTTATAGTATTTGAAATGTCAAATTCAACTCGTCCAATCTTCAAAACAACTATATAGTTATCCAAGATGATGAAGTGTGTTTCTTGTGTTCAAACGGAAACTCAAGTTCATTCATATAAAAAACACACAAAATATATCCCTAGATTGTTTTCATCATCACTGCAACAATAACCTTTTACGAAACTATTATTGTCATGAAATTTTAATTTTTGGTTTATATCACGTAGAAATTTTTTACCATCATATATGTATAATTTTTTATCATCGAGCATTATGAAAACGTATTGATTTGTATGACTTATCATGAAAGCAAAACATTTGCTTTAACGTAGATCTGCTTCTTTTGTACTTAAACTTTAGCTTTATTTATGAATAGTCATAACTCAATGTATTCTAGTAGTATGTGTTACATTCAAGTAACTCTTCTACGGCAACACTGAAGAAAGCAGCTCTTAAATGTAGAAAAAGATGAAAGATGTATCAAATGACACATTGATGAACAATATTACAATGGGCTAAGAATAATTGAATATTCTAAATTTATGAAACTATTTCTATGAGATTGTATTATACTCTATAAAAATAGCATGTATTGATTGAAAAAAAAATGTAAACAGGTTTCTTCAATATGGTCAAAATATATCATATGGATATTGATAAACATCATAAAGTATGTCATTCTCTCCTAAAAATATGCAAAAAAAGTCTTAGATCATATAAGCCCAAATCAATGTAATAAAAAAAAGAAATCCTTTATCTTTTCATACGGCAAAAATCAAATAGGTGTGACCGTTGGATGTTACAGGTACATTCGTTGTCCATTTTGAGTATTCTTTATATTTGAGAACGCGATGCTCTATATAGATAATCATTATATATGTAATATTGACATTGTTATCCTGAATAGAAGATAAAGTGTCACTCACTCTGGTCAACTACAAGACACACCAACAGTCACCACTATTCATCTCATGTGAGTTACCAATCTACACATGGAGAATGAAATCGACAACATGATTGGACATATGATCATGTGAACTCTTGGAACTTCTTACGGAGTAAATTCTCGCACCAATGTATATTCTGCAACAAACAAAAATGGAAAGTACTAGTTCATCGACAGTTAACTCTTCCAAAGTAGTCAAATCCTCTTTTCGTGAAAAAAGTATAATTTACAGTAATTGTTTATGTTTGGTTTCTCGTTCGGATTGATACTGTACAAAAGAAGTAGTGGCTGCGCCATCCGTAGTGCGCCTCCTACTCATTACCCTATGAGTAGGATTTGGGTCACAACAAATTTGTTCGGGGCATGTCCATATAATATTAACGTATCAGAAAATTTACTCATATGGATATAAAGCACTCTTAGAAGTAGATCAATCAACAATAAAATGAAAGCCTAAAACCCAGAACCTCCATGTGTCTATTGAAGGAATCAAAGAAATCCCTTCGTAATTTGAAAGTGCAATTTTCCCACCCTGCGACGGTCAATTTTAAACCATTTTATTTTTATAACTCTAAAATATAAGTCTATAACTCTAAAATATACATATAAATTTGGTTATACATACATGCCTCGTATTGAAAATGCGAATTAGACATGCCCCCCTCTGGCATGGGGTATGCATTTTGAGGTTGTGCCTCCAACTCTAACTATGAGGCTCATCTACAATCGCTTGCGGCCTTTCATACTCTCAGCACTTTATAGCCTGACCACGCAAGGAAGCTCATCTACTCTTTCCATCCGTTGAATCTTAAATGATCTTTCCATCATTGATCCAACATGAGAGTGTCGTATTATGCCTCATACTGGCAGTTTGTCCAGGATATCATGAAGAATTCAGTCCCTCGTCCAACCGAATCTTGCCGAGACAAACACTATATTTAAATAAAAGACTACTCTAACCGTGTACGTATGGTTTCTCATTCGGATGCTTAGATACTGTACAAATGAAGTAGTGGCTACGGCACTCAAAACTTCTACAATCTTACGTAGTGCGCCTCCTACCCAATGCCTACGAGGCTGATCTTACAATCCTTTGCAGCTTTTTCTCCTCTCAGAACTGTACAGCCTGACCACGCAGTACTCTTCCCATCCGTTAAATGTAAAATGCGTACTCTGCCTCGTTTGGCAGTTTGTCCATCATCAATGCAACGTGAGAGTGTCGTATTACGCCTCATTTGGCAGAAATCTTGAAGACTTCAGGCCTTCTTCCGACCGAATTTTGCCAGAAGCCAGAGAGAACATTCCAGAATTGGACGGGGTCACGGGAGGAAGATGAACTGGGTCACGATGTCGTTAGCACCAGCACCCCGATCGAGCTGTCGTCACGGAAGAGTTGGTAGACACAGTTTGTGTGCGTGAAGCAGTTGCGATACTTGAAGACTTATACGGAGAGGAGAGGAGAGGAGAGGGAATTCAGTCACGCAAGTACCATCCATGCCTCCCTGCGTAGACCCTTCTCCTGCTCGTACACACTACTCACTGGTTACAGGGCTGCGCTCGTCTCCCCTCTCCAGTAGCGAGCTGGCTGGCTGGCTGACGAGAGGACGCAAGTCAAAGTCATGTGACTTGCAGTGATCGAGTGGTGTCTCTTGTCAAGTACGTAAGATGTACAGTCGTAGAGGTATCGTGAACCGCAGCATATTCTGATGGCCCGTGGCAATTCTGTTGGTGGGTATGCTCCCCAACACATGGGCCTGTCCCTCGATGTGACTCGCTGTCACTCCATCCTCGTCATAGCAACGAGGTAGCCGATGTCCCGTCGGACTCTCTCTCCCTCCCTCTCTCTCTCTCTCTCCCCTTGGCTCCTCTTTGACTGCGGACTACAAGAGCTGGGCTGAGATCAAACATCAAGCATCATCAAGCTGCAGGGGGCGCCTACAGCACATGCTAAATTGATTGGCCCAAGGTTCACAAATGGGCTCGATGGAAGCGACCAGACGAGACCTGCTTGACTTCTCAGACGATGTGGGTCCCTCCTGGGGCGGGCTGACTTGCGAGAAACGACAGCGATTTTGGCCGTGATCAAGGTGCAGGAATCGGTTCTTTCTTTTGTACTCTTTCCAGCATGTCGACCTGCCAGACCTGGTAGAGCCTTGAGCAGCTTGAGCTCTCCACTGTACCGAGGCGGAGAGACCGGGGGAGAGAGGCGCTGGAGCGACGAGCCTGCACAGCAAAATCTCTGGCCATGCCATGCACCTCAGAGGTTTACCTTGCGGTCAGCTAACTCACTCCTCCCCACGCCACGCCCCGCGTCTCGTGGTGGTCTGTTCAGATTTTTCGAGCTCATTCAGTGACTTCACCATCTCCATTCCTTCTCCCTTTCCCTCAAGATCAATCTCCTCCCAAAGGACTCGTGCATCTATTTGGTCCATAGTGAGGCCATCCCGCTCTGAATCACCAAGTGTCTTTCGTGACTAAGAGCTTGAAAAGATTGTCGAAGTCTGGGAAGGCAGTTTTCCCTCTCGATCCTCTCTGTGAGTCACTGGGAAATCCTTCAAACTTCATCGTATTGTGACGTATACAATAGTATCAGAGCTGTGGTTCGGCTCCTGATGCCCGAGATCAACTTTCCAGACATGCTGATGGCGTTAAAGGTTTTTTCTTTCGTGCGGTTGACCGACTGAATGCAGGATTTCTGCCGGCAAGACAGCAGGTGACAGACTAGACTCCTCCGATCACCACAGCGACAACTTATTGTCATCTGAGAAGCTCTGCAATAAGCAATAAGCAATAAGCAATTGGCTCGCCCGGCGATTGACGCTGAGGGAAAGCTCAGTAGAGATTCGCCTTGGCGATGGAGGCATTGCAGTACTCGGGTTGCGGCTCTGCAACGAAATTCCGAGGTCGGGCATCACCTCCGCATGTCGAGGTGCAGGGTGAAAGTTGTAGGATACGGAGCTTAATGTCGACGGGTGCCAGAGGTAGTTGCACTGGCGCCAGCATCACGGCCTTCAATCGGAAGAGATTCGAAGGAGGAACAGGGAGGAAATTGTTAGAGCTCAGGGTGGCTCGCGCAGCTCTGGCTGTGGACGAGGATAAGCAGCAAGAGGATGTGGCGAGGCCCGACGGGAGATCGGTCAACATGCCGGTTCCTCACGATGTGCAGAGCACGACGTCGACGGGGTCTACCTCCTCGAATAAATTCGCAGTCGCTACGGATTACATTCAGTATCTTCCCGAGTTTTTGAGGGATGATTCAGGGCCGCCTCGCTGGTTCTGTCCCGTGCTGGAAAACAAGCCTCCGAAACAGGCCCCCGTTCTCCTTTTTCTGCCCGGTACAGTAGCATCGAGCCCATTGTCTGCCACAAACTGTAATTCACTCACGTCGCATTGTATAGCAATCTGAGAATTGGTATTTTCTTCTGCTTGGAAGGATCTCAGAAGCCGGATTTTTTCGTCCTCTCGTTCAGCTGTTCTTAAGCTCCCGAAGAAAGGTTCAGTGATAAAGCGCTGATCAAGCGCTCTGTGTTTGTGGTCGCAGAGGTCGTTGGCACCGGCCTCGGGTTCTCACTGCAACAGGAGAATCTCGCCAGGTAGAAATGATTTACATTGGAGCATGTTTTTCACGTAGATTTGGCGGAGCCTCGTCTCGGAATGTGCCGTGGAGTGCTCTGGGTTTTTTTAGCTACTTGCTAGCTTACATTCATACCACGCGCATAATGAGCATTTGCTTTTTTTCTGTGCAGATTGTTTGAATTGCGGTGCCTGCGCATTCCTCTGACGGATCGTACACCTTTTGAAGGTGAGAACTCGTGGACTTGCGGTAAACAGTACATCATAGAAAGAACGAGCTTTGAGTGGCAATTCTTCTCTCGCAATGGAGACTCTTTCCTCGAGCGGTGGAATGAGGGACACTAAAATGCAAAGTGGGGTTTTCAGACATTGAAACTGAAGCAATCCGTCGGTCCTGCTTCCTGGTCGGGCATTCATTCGCAGTATTAGTTGTTGCCTTGTATCGAGGCGGCGGATGGTGAGGAAGATCTGATGCATGCTTTGCGTTTTTCTCCAGACAGGGCTCGTAAGTTTTGTTGAGGAAACTGTACGTAAAGAAGCCAAGCTGAACCCCAGAAGGCCAATATATCTTTTGGGAGAGTCTTTCGGAGGAACACTTGCACTGGCCATTGCCTCTCGAAATCCGAAGCTCGATCTCGTGCTCGTACTTGTGAATCCCTGTAAGCAGCGAGCAATTTTGTCCATCGGCTGAGTGCTCTCCATCTATCGCTGCTTTGCATCCTGCTTGATCAAACCAGCGATTGCTTGCAGTAATATAGAGTGATTTTCTGCCATGTGATCCTGGAGTTCACATGTGGACAAGTAGATGTGCTCCATGAACTGCTGACCCACTTTATCGTCATTGACACACAGCAACCTCTTTTCGTGAATCGCCCCTGCAACCACTTATTCCTCTGATTGAAGCGCTTCCACCGGCCTTGTTTCCTGCGGTTCCAGTGCTGCTCGGATTGGCCACATGTGAGGAACACACTTTTGCCCGGCGATTCATATATGGCCATCATTGTCAACGAATTGTCAATCATATAAAACTGTTATAACGCATGAATAATTTACGTCCTTGCAAAGAATGCCAGCAACAAACACTGAGATCAGAAATCATTTCGATGTCATAAGGTCTTGCTGTTTCACGTGATTTCATCAAGAACTCAGTTTGAAGTTGTGCCTTTGAGGACTACAGTGCATTCCCAGATTCTCTACCTTTGTAATGAGTGGATTTGCCTTCGTAATGACGGATGAACTAATCTCCTCTTAGACCAGTAAAGTCTAATCAAATTGAAATGTAATGTAAACCAGACGATCCGGTTCAGTGGGCTTCACAAATCGCCACAAAAATTGCACCGTCGATCGGGTCCGGTCAAATATCCCCCGACAGTATCACAGGCGCTCTTCGATCACTTTTGGTAAGTCTCATCTCCGAATTACCTTGTATGCTTTGCATAGACGTCATAATCGGTTAATCTTGCGTTGCCAGGTAAAGAGGTGAAAATGTTTTGGTCGTAAAAAAGAACGTCGTTCGAATGCCCTCTGAAGACTAATTTGTCACTGGCCGTCTGAAGAATGTAGAATAGATTGCACGTTCACATCTTTATATATTCTGCAGTCGCCGTAGTTGCACTCTGATCAGTCTGGGAGGGCTTGCAGGACGTTGTCGACGCGTTTCCTAAAAGTATACTACCCTGGAAACTGAAAATGCTCGAGTCTGGTGCTCGGTACGCAAATTCACGGATTCGAGCCGTGAAGGCGGATGTGCTCATCCTTGCCAGGTATGTTTATCTGGTCAAACGCAGATGATCATGCCATTGGTCGCTCCGTACTTCCGATGATGAGTAGCAGCACGTAACTAGTCTGAACACATTTGAATGACTGAGATATACTGACGTTCTTACTTCCTGCTATCAAATCAAATGACCTCGCTTCCAGTCCCATCACATTGCTGACGCGCCGTCTCAGAGCAGTAGAGTATCACTTTGACCTTCATGTCTAAAAGTTTCCATCTTCTTCAATGCAGTGAAAAGGACCAGCTGTTGCCGAGCTTGGAAGAAGCCAAGAGGTTGAAGAAGATTATACCCAATAGCACGTATCGAAAGTTTCCACAAAGCGGCCATATGTTACTAGTGGTCAGTTGCTGCTACCAGTGATCGCGCCTGGCCTCCTTTGTTCATCCCTTTCTGAATGTGGAAAACAAAGTCTCGACTATTGACATCGTCCTTGTGTCCTGTCAACAGGAGGAAGGCTTTAACCTTGCCAGTATGATCAAAGCCACAGGTTTCTACCGTCAAACTAGAAGCAAAGACGTCGTGTCTAATTTTGTGCGCCCAACGAAGGAGGAGATCGATCAAGCTTATGGGACTACGGAGTAAGTGCTCGATCTTTGTGTATCCTATCCTCCGAGCTCGGCTTTCCCGTCGTTTTGGGCACTGGGATCCACGTGCAGCGAGTTCTTTGTTAGTGTTTTACTTTCGCTTTTGAGTCTCAAAGTATGGACCATGTTTACGTTCTTCATACTGTGCCCTGAATGAGTTGCTAAAATGCTTCAATTTTTTGAAGATTTTAGCATGTAAGCAAGCAGTGCCCACCTGATGGTCTTTGTTTTCACAATGATTGCTGCAGCATACTGCGTAAGCTGACCAGTCCGGTGTTCTTCTCGACGGGGGATGACGGGGTGGTGGTGCGAGGTGTATCGAAGATTCCCACATCGAAGCAGCCGTTGATATTTGTGGGAAATCATTTCTTCTATGGGCTAGACATGGGCATGCTCTGGGGAGAGTTGATGAACAAGTTGGATGTGTTGCCACGAGGACTGGCTCACCCGATCCTTTTTGACCAGACCCTGTTGGAAGAGAACAATGACAGAATCGAAGGAGACAGGACGCGTCTGTTCGGAGGTGTTCCCGTTGGTGGGAAGAATATGTTCAAGCTTCTTTCTAGAGGGGATTCTATAGCTCTGTACCCCGGAGGCGCTCGAGAAGCTCTTCACAGAAAGGTCAATGCTCTATGGCATGCATCCTTGTAAAGCTGATGTTCATGCGCTACTTCTTTTCACCCATCCTGCAGTTAGCTCGTTGCAGTGGGGAGGCTCTTCTGGTTCTGAGATGCTTACCGGTTCTTTGAAAGCTGAAGTGGTCCTCCTTGCGAATGTCGAGCCTGTACAGAATGAGTGGCACAAGTTATTTTGGCCTGAAAGACCAGAAGTCATCCGAATGGCAGCTCGATTTGGTGCAACTTTTATTCCCATGTGCGCAGTTGGTGAGGATGAGATCTACGAGGTGAGCATCTGGACAACTCATTGCCCACTGCAAATTTCCACAGAAGAAAGAAATTTGTTCAAGAAATGATTTGAGATCCGAAACTCAAAATGCTTGCAAAGAGGGTGCCCTACTTTCCAGATCCTGATGCATGCATGTCCAGTATCGTCAATCTGAATACTGACCGGAACTCGATGTGCTGTTGTAGATTCTTCTGGATTACGACGACTTGATCAATCTGCCCTTAGTAGGAGGGCGGCTCTATGAAGCATTTGATCAGTTACCCAGATGGCGGTAAATCCCTTCCCTTGTTCTCAAGCCAGACTGCAGGCAAATAGATTGAGTTCCTCGTACATGGATACACCATATGCACATTTCAGTACTTTGAGCTTACTTATTGCTTTTGAAGTATAAACACAACATGAGGCTGATATGAGGCTGAGGCTGATGACCCATTTCCAAGGTCACAGACACATGCCACAAAAACGAACAGTTAGATCTTTTGGACGCCTCGTTGAAAAAGATCGGGCATGGCTTCGTAAACGAGGCCGTATCCGAGCACTTTGGTCTCGGTATTTACTCTTCTCGTTCCAAGTGATCTCGTGAGAAGCACTAGCTGCTTTCTTTCAGATCGTAGCCAGTGCTCTTGCATGCCGAATGGAGGTCACAGATTTTAACAGCACGAATACTTAAAGGCCACATATCTAAAGAAGTGGCTTCATGCAACCGCCACTGCAGAGAGGATCTAGATGGAGAGGTGTCAAATCAAATGCTCCACACCCCAGTGGCCGTGCCGAAGTTGGGAGGACCGGGACGGATTTATATCTTGTTCGGCAAGCCTATCTACACTGAAGGTGAGACCTCTATCGCCAATTTCGTTGACCACTTCGTGAAGCTTTCTACGACTGAAACACTGCTCCTCCTCTCGGTGGGAAATAATTGCACTCTTAAATGATGTCTATAGTCACATGTTGAGCAAGATGTTGGTTGTCCTGTCCACCTCAGGCAAAGAGGATTTCTTCCGGGATCCGAAGAATGTGGACGCTGAGTACAAGAAACTGAGAGAAGCCGTAGAAGGTGGACTCGCTTATCTGGTGAACAAACGGAAGGAGGACGCATACCGAAACTTCTTCCCGAGAATTGCATATGAAATTGCAGCTGGTGGGAAGCAGGCACCGACGTTTGAGCCCTGAGTGTTTGTCAGACTTTCAAGCACTTGACGTCCTCGTCGTTGTCATCATCATCACCCGCAAGTCACTTGTATAGTTCGTTCCTGGTTTAATGTCTGAATCTTATCGAGTTGTTAACACACACTACAGTAGTTTTCTCAAAATCATTCTTTGTAGACGACATTTTTCTCCAGTTTTGGCTGCTCCAAACGACACATTCCAGAACTGAAAATGAGCGTTTTAATTTACGGTAGGAGTCAATTAAGCATGTGGAGGTAGATATATCTATATGTTTCGAAAGTTTTTGGATCACGCTTTCATACCCACCTCAAGTTTCAGTGGTAGCCTCAAGGTGCATCTGTGAATAACCAACCATTCACTGACTGTGTGATAATTTTTGTTGTCTTTTCTCTCGATTGTATTTGCAAAAAGTCTCCTCCTCTTCTTTCATGGTGTGATTGATATGGAATCTCATAGTTAGACGATAGCACTAACTCATCGACAGCAACTGATCATCTAATCTGGATCTGCAGTTGGTTATAGAAAGCAAATAGCAATTTCCTTTAGGTTTAGGAATAACATTTCTATTTTGTAATATACTAATCTCTGAGGGGTTGCTGTAATCTAATATATTTTGTTTAAACAAACAAATAAATAAATAGTATTGTGATTATTTTACAATAATATAATTATATATTCATTTTGAGTAACCTTCATTTTATAATCTAATTAATTAAAATTGGTTACATTATTTATTTATCAATAAATTTGAATAAAAATATTGTGATGGAATGAAACAAGAAATGACTTATGGCCAACAAGATGTGAGAATTAATAAAATTTTCAAATAATCAAACTTTGAAAAATCAAGTGGATGCAATTTAGTAATGATTAGATAAACATCTTGAAATTCAAATTTGATGATGAGAATATCATACAAGAGAAAATTTTGCGTTACTATGAAGTTTGTTCACTTAGAAAATGAAGTTACAATTTGGTTTTAATGCGAATTTGATTCAATATATAGTCTATTTTTGGACTAGATGATATATTTACAATATGTTTTAACTAATATTTTAAGAAAAATTTTACATAACACAATTTGTTAATTTTGATAAAAAATGTTATAAAAGATTGATTTATAGATTACTAAAACTAGTAAATCAATTAAAGTAAATTTTCATGCAATGAAATACAAGATTTGATTAGTTATGAAAGCACAAAAGTTTTTATTATATCATAATTTATTATTATATAAAATAAAATGAAAATAAATAATAAAATCTTCAATTTCATTATTCTTATAATTTACTCAAATAACATATTAGTATTAGAAAAAAATCATCTGGCATACAATAACCTTCACAATTTTCCAAAATCAATTCCGAAGTTGAAAAATCGTGAGAAGATGAAAATTTTTTCAACTTCGCAGTTATGTCAACTTCAAGACAGTATATTGAATATCTCAGTTATACCTCATTGTGAGATTCAAGCGTAGAGCCTTCTCAACAAAAATTAAATTTTGAATATCACAAAAAACTTTTATTAATTTATATAGTTTCAACTGCAATAATGACTGGTAAATTTCATACCCTTGATCAATAATATACCCTAAAAGGCTAAAGTTCATACACAGAACTTTAAGACCAATTTTATCAAATAAAATTTATGAGCATTGTAGTGTGATTTTTTAAGGTCTATTACGATGGTATTCACTTTGTATGATTCAAAGATATATTTAACATATATAACCTATTTATTTAACAATTCATATAAAATCCAAAATATAATTATCAACCCATATTTTTTTTTAATATTTACACACAAGTAACGTTTCTCTAAGTGATTATCTGAAAATCGGTATCAGTTGTATAATATTACTTAGAGGATTTGATTTTTTTTCTATTAAATAAAATATCTCCTCATTTAAAAAGATTAAGATCGTGGTATATTATATATCATAAAAGAGAATAGTACTTCATATTAGCATATAATTTCAAGTCAGTATTATATGGATTCCGAGATATTGAATTTTTTTTTTATTGAGATCGTTCCCACAATGTTTTGAGCAAATTAGAGAGAAAGATGGGGATGTGATATGTTAGAAGGCTCCTACCGGAGATAGTTAATTATGGGTTTGGCAGTTGTTTGCTGAGGGGTTCAGCGGACAACAGCAGTTTATTAGAGTTAACCCTTATATCGGTAGATGGTAACTCCTATGTTTTAACTCGATCGTCTCTTTTCATCCACACCTGATTTTCTCGAACTACGTGGTCTTCCTTCACTACTAAACTTTTCCAATCCTTACAAGCTTGAATTCTCCGCACCAATGATTTTGGAATAGCCACATTAGATGGATGCCATTCTCGAGAACGTGATGCCGCGTGCTGCTAGGCTTGGCCACGGTCTGGCGGTTAACCGGTTAACCGTCGGTCCGGTTTAACCGGTCCCAAGTCCATATGCAGCACGGTGCTGCATACGGACTCTGAATTGGAACCAGCGGGAGGTCAAGCGGACGCTCGTCACTAACGGCTCCCCACTTTCGGGGGAATGCGAGGTCTGCCCGGATGGCTTTATGCCCGCAGCCCGACCTCCCGGGGAGGGTCGCCACGCTCCCGGGTTTAGAGGTCCGGGGAGCCCTGAGGGCGAGGGCCTCCTTGGACCATAGATTAACCTGTTTAATCCGTGAGGTCACGTTACACTGGTGCAGAACGATTTAGTGAGTGACAAATTGCTAACCAAAGAGTACTTTGGAAAAGAAAAGACTTAGTTTTTTTTGGCTTCAGGAATATGAGCCGGCTTTGCAAGGAGGATGTAAGGATCGGCACGTTCGGTACACTCCTCATTCATTTTCCAGTCCGAGGAGGAACTTCAATTCTTCTAGAAGTACATCCCGTGGAAGATCAAGGGAAAGAAGTGAAGAAAGTTCTATATTATGCCATAATATAGAACTTTCTTATATAGATCACATAATATAGATCACTAAAATTAAGTGCCATAATAATTATGGCACTTAATTTTAGTGATCGTGTTTTGTCACATAGTAGGCCTGCATAATCATATTCGTCTAAGTGGATACGACATTTCACTTTTCATATCATTATGATGTATAGGAAAATCGATGAATCTAGCAAACAACGAAGAGCGTTGTTGGCATGGCATTGTTGGACCGAGTAGTGCAGGGTTTAGTGATTTATCAACGTGAAACTCATATGCCCTCCCGTGAAAATCCTGGTACTTGGATGATGTATGCTCCGTGTATCGTACATGGCATTTTCGAGACGATAGATGTATGAGGTTATGAGCAGCCATCGTGCGAAAAAACGATATTTCGAGTTTAATGATAAGTTATCATTAACTTAAACTAGGATCAGAGTTTTATTCCTGATAATTGTTTTATATTGGTGAAGAAGAGGGGAGCCCCAAGCATGCTCCTCCATTTCTCCTCCCCTGTGTGAGGGGAGAAAAAAAATTACATAGTACAAGTTCCCTGCGGGAAGGGAGGAGCGAGCGAGAGCGGGGCGAGCTAAAGCGGGAGGTCGGGCTGCGGGCCCGGGCGGGCAGAAAGCCCTCCCGGGCAGACATCGCGTTCCCCCGAAAGTGGGGAGCCCTTAGTGACGAGGCAAGCGGACGGCACAACGGTCGGACCCGAGCGAGTCACCGGACGGCTTCAGTCTGCACATAGCTTCATGGCGGTCGACATGGATAACTGCAGCAGGAGCGGAATCTCGTCCTCATTGAGCTCGGCACATGCTCTCGTGGATTAATCATTCTGCCGCTGCCAATGCCCGCTGATTTTTAGTAACGAGCAATCTGGATTGGATCCGAGGATGTGCAGAGTAGGGCTTGACCTGCTCTGCTCTGCTTCGCCGAGCTGCATCCGGGGTCCGGTCGGGCCCATAGAGATCACACAGGTGTGCTGAAATCTCGTCTCGACGGGACATCTGTTCCGATCCCAAGTCGAGCGCGGAGTCCGGACGAGGAGGCTGGTTCTGGTTGCCACGAGACCCTTGCCATGATGGCTCACGAGATCTGCCTCGGGTTCTTCTGTCACATCGACGGGCCTCGGTCGCGCTCGGACGCATCCGACGACCAGGACCGCGACGAGCAGACGTTTCTAGATTGCGAAGGGCTCGGAATCGGGAATTTCCGTTACAGCGTAGACGTTTCAAGAAGTTTCGCCCTCGTGCGCAGGAGGCTAGAAAGCAGCCTCCCTCATGCCCTCCCCCGACCATTCCTCTCGATGAGACTTCCGAGACGGCGGACGAGCTTCCTTTCACTCTCGGAGGCACGGCTCGACGTGGATCCCATGCATGGATCGTCGAGCCATGCGCCGGCCGGAGGTGCTTCCTACCGATTATCGCAGTGCAGTGCAGAGGGGCTCGGCTCTGCACTGCACCTCAAAGACTGATCGAGCCTAATGTCTTCACAAGGCGAGATTGCACGTGCCTGGTTGCTGTATCTCTCGTGGCGCTATCCTCAAGAGGACGAAAATCGACCTGTGTTTGCTTTACCTACCGAGTATCAAAACTCCAAATTGAATCAAAATCCTGGACATTTGAATATGGTCACCACGAAAGGGACGATTGAGAACCGCCCTGATTTCCTCTCGTATTGCCTCCACTCGTTCGAAGCGACATGTTCCTCGACTTCTGCATTGTATTCCAATGGTCGGAACTCCTGGATGGTCAATTCAAATCTTCGACCACAGACTGGCTACATTTGGCGATGAGTGCGCAATTTTATGATTCCACCCGTCTGTACGTCTTCCGATGATTCTGGCCATTGCAATCGCGTCTTCTGATCTGAGAGACAACTGTTCCTCCCTCTCAGCTCACTTGCCCCCGAGTCGCCTGCGTTGCAAAACATCATCTCGGGGATGGCCGTTCCACAAAGCTGTCGGAGATGCAGATGGCAGATAGCACCCGCTGAAGAAATTGCCATTCCTCAGGTGAGAATCCGTAACAATTTCCCCGGAAGAGAGTGGGGACGAGAGCCACGAGATCCGCATAACGAACTCGACGAACAAGAGCATGGCGCAAGTTTGACGGGGTCGTTTGCAGTCCACGGACGGATTCACATCTCTCCTCTCCGGTACCTCGTCCACATCGTGAGAAGAAATCCGAAGAACGATCATAACACCAGTGACAAAAACCCTTGCACGATTGGGTTGCTGCCCTGGTTGCATTACTGGGCGAAAGACGATCCTTTTCAGCTATAGACTCTGTTATAATCAAGTGCATGGCTTTGAAGAAGACCAGAAATGGAGATCCGATGCTCTGAGTTGATCCTACCTCCTATTTGATGATGAATGCTGACAAGGGCGCAATCCACTTCCTCCTACGTCACAACCAGAACCGGTCGAGCAGCTTCCAAGAGCGTGGAGAAGAAATGTTCACGTTCATCCATGGCACTGTTGGATGCTCGAGATGTGTCATGGCGCATATGCTCGGCCTGGGTTTGGGTTGCTGGTTCAGTGGAAGTAAGTTCTTCCTCCGGTTCAATCACGTGAAGGACATGGGTCGATGGTCAGACCTGCATTGTGTGGGTTGGGATCGGGCTGACGGAAGCCCCAAAGCTCTCCTGCTTTCCGCGTATAGATGATGGGTGTTGATGCAAGGTGGCAGTTGTCGAGAGATATGTCCCAGCGGCTGCCGAAACTTCATATCTGCAAAACTCGTCCGATGCATGTACGTTTTAGTTCTAGCCTTTCGTGCCATGGAAGACGTGCTTGCTTGCTTCCCCCACAGCACGAGCTGCAAACGAAGGGAAGAAGAAAGCTGCACACATGGCCGTGAGTTCACCCGAGAACTCCAAACATTCCATGGCCCGAGAGGCGAGAAGTACTGCATACATTCACAAAATACGCAAATCAGATATGTGCATGCACTCGGACACATCACTCGAGTAATTGTCACAATGCAGTAACGCCCCTCATCTATACATTTGAAAATAGGAGATCTAGCTTTCACTACTACTTCAACTACTTAGTCTTCAATGTACAAAACAGCCTCAATGCTTTCTTATACAAACCATGTCAGTGACATCTACTTCAGAACTGAAGTAGATGTCACTGACAGCGGGTTCAGCGTGAAGCATATTTAAGTTCATCATGTCCAGAAACATTGCTCCCGAGTGGTTGTGACTTTCTGTGACTTATTTGGTGGCACTCGAAACGGAGATGAAATGCGATTTCTTATTTAACTAGCAGTCAGTGAGGTTCACAGTTACTCAAGAACTGGACCGCTTTGAATTATCGTTGTCAAAACAGACAACCTTCAAAAGTCTTACCTTACTAAATCGTACTCGTTCGCGCTTCAAGCTCCAATTAGCCAGCAACCTGGATGCGTCATCCCGATCAGTCAGTTCCTTGGTTCTTTGAAATTCTTTTCTTTCAGCTGCCAGTAAAGTCATTTCCGGAAACCACTCTTCTCCATCCACTCCATAACAGAAATCAGATGGAAATGTTTCAGTGGTTCATACTCAGGCTGGCAGAATCCATCCATCTACAAGCAAACAACTGTCCTTCCCTGTGGAAGAATGATTAGCTGCAAACTACGTACCTGAGCATCGAAATCTCCAATTCGCTTCGGGCGGGACTCTGACGTCACAAAAAGGATGAAACAGGTTTTTTTCTCTTTTCGAAAGTCTCCAAGACTACGTGTTTCCGTACCTTGCGAACATGAATCAGAGGTTGATAGAGCGTTGGAATCGGCAACCCGCCTATCCATCCTCAGCTCGAACCCAGATTACCGTAATGATGCCGGATGTTCACCATTGCAACTCCTGATCTTTGACAGACTTCTTTTACTTGTAGGAAAAGGGAAGCCAGAAATATCCAACATGCACACTGAATCTCATCAGGACCATGAGGTTCTGATTCCCTGATGAGATTGGTTTCATGAGAGGAACCAAAGGCCGACGAAGAGACATGAGTCCGCCCACAACTCGATCGGGCTCCTTCGTCCGAGGGCCCAGGAATTCGGAAACCTGCAGAGGCCGGCAAGTCGACAGAATCGTGGCCTATTTTAGAACATGGCTGAAAGAACAAGTCAGAATCTGAGGATCTGTCCTCGGGGCGGCTGAGTGAGTTTCTCAACTGTCCATAGAGTGCACGAGGCAACTTCAAGGGTCAGGAGGGGCAGGCACACATCCAGCACGACCATGGCACTTCCCATCCCATCCCTTCAGAAGTACGAAATTTCCCGACAGACGGACAGCGGCTCTCTTTGGACGATCTGTATGAAGAGAAGGTGGCCTGAGAAACCAAACGGGTAACACGGAGAAGCTTCAATAACATCACAATTGGACACACGTCTTATTTCTATGTATATATCTTGACTGGCGCTCAAAGATCGCAACGACCTGTTCTCTTTGTTAAGCAATCAAAATATGATTTATGACATAAGAATTGATCAAATTTTTTTCATCATAAAATTCATTAAAAAATATAAACTCTGACGTACTCAAAATTACCGGAAATAATGTTCTTCCAATCACATAGTGATACAAAATTCATCTAACTAACCTCCACTGTTAAGTTCAAGTTTTTTTTAAAAAATATTTTAAAATCTAGTAATAGCACTACTATCATACTTTAGTAGGCATAATATAGCATTTACATGTATCTTGAGAAAATGTACATACAAAATATCGAAAGCTAGAGTTTAGTACGCAATAATCCAAAGAGAGTATTTATCAACTAGTTTGGTACTCTCTTTCGCAAAAAATAACTAGATTACTTTCTCTTCATTTGGAGAACTTGGATTAGGTTGCAAACTTACGCATTATGGACAATTATCTACTCTATAAATGTGTTACAATTTCAATAATAACATGATCTTCCCCAAGCAGGTATAGTTATATCATAACGAAAGACACATTTTAAGCACTTTGGCTATCCATCCGTTCTTACTACATTAGACACGAAGCTGATAATAGGATAATGGGTAGCAACAGTATTCAATCTGAATAATCAACTCGTCATATGAACACTTTTACATATGCCCCAATCATACATGGAAAAAACTGTTAAAAATTTGTATCAAACCGATGCAAACAATCACTATGAGAAATTTTTAGTTGAAAAGCCTTAATGCATGATTGAAGCAAAATTAAGAATTTTTGTTCTGGTAATACTCGGGCAAGAGCGTAAACCAAATCAAGTATAAACAATTTGTCTATGAAATAAATATACGTCTAACGGAAATGATTGCGCATCCTTATCCCTCGATATATGCAAGTAACTAACTACAGAAAATCAAAAATAAGAATGAGCAAAAAGTTGTAAAGGCTCTGAAATAATGCTAGTGCAGTTTTATAGATCAATGATAAGCCTATCCCTCAAAAACAATGGATAACTAAAAGTTTCATGAGGTTACCAGGTTAAAAAACAGTTATTTTTTGTGACATGATAATCTATCAAAGGCTTATGAATCCGAATTTTGATATTCAGAGAAACTTATGTACCAGAAATTGATTAAGGTTATACATGGTTCATCTATTGGTGTCTATTCGACTATGCTAGACAATTTGCCTGACCAATCAAGCTCTAATACGTCCTTAGAGCTTTCACAAGGTCTTCTTATAGTGGTGTCAATCATCCTTAATCATAACATTAGTAGAGTAGCAGTCTAACTAGAAGTTTATTCTTACCACGAGTGATCCCAACAGATGAGTCAATTATGATATGAATGCAAGTGAAGAATACAACTCTTTAAAAAAAGTTAGGTTTTTATCTAAAATTATCTAACAACACTAGAAAATTAGATACCAAATGTTATTTAAATGTTGAGTAGTGTCATCTACAATCAATACATCATTATTCTCCTCATCCATTAAAATAGGTAGGTAGAGTGATACACAGTCTTTGTACTCAGCTTACACTCATGGATAAGTTAACCATATGTTCATGTCATACATACCTTTGGAAGCGAAAATGTACAGTAATGCTTGAACTTTTCTTGACCTACGAAATAAAGATGAAATCGTCTTAGACCATATGTACTGATTCATATCAGTTGCACATCAATTTCGGCAGACATGGTCCAAGCCCGGACAACGTACTTGATATTTATATACACGACCAAAATGAAATTACCTAAATACAAAAGTGTTGTCTACAAGTCAGATAGAAAAAATACCAATCTTAATGTTGTGACTCGTACAAACTCTTCATGTAGTGTATCCACATCAAATGATGAGAATCTTTGTTTTAGCTATCATATTCCAATGTAAAACAACACGAGGTCGACATTAGAGAAAAAAAATCATGTTAATTTTCCATTTCAGATTATGTCGACCAATAGGCATATCTGCTAAAAACTCAACATAACAGATTATGTAGCAAAATTTGTTTGAACACCACATAAAGTCGTATTGACGATACTCATTATAGGCAAAAAAATCTACACAGCCTATGGATGGGAAGTAAGCCTCAGATCTCCAAAGAAGGTAGAAAACTCTTTAATGATAAAATTGAACATGGCACATGTCCATATCGATCGTATTTGGTATGTTATCCTGATCGAGGGTTGCACTTCCATTCCGCTCTTTCATGTGCGGACGGGTTCTAATTTAGTTTTATAGTCTTTCTCCTCTACTTTTCTTAATATAGTTTTCGTAATCCAGCATTCTTTTTTCAGTTCCAGTATTCATTCGTGCCTGCCAACCACGCTGCAAGTTTAAATATGCTTCCTCCCATTTCACTTTGCATTCATTTCTCTTACTCCGCGCCATGACAAAGATAGCACGAAACCTCGCAATGCCACGCATGAAATAAAAATGTTTGATATCAAAGGTGGAAATGGTACAATACCAAACTCGCATGATTTAATGACCTTGAAGTATTTTGCATTTCGTTGACCACGAGGCACTTTCCGTTCCTCATGTCATGAACAAACCTCTCATCGTGGGCCTCTTTCCTCTTTCCTCGCACACAACTGCACGATTAATCTGCCAAAAGCCAGCCAGGTGAATTCAGCCCAATGTCGGTCAACTCCATTCCCCGGTCGTGCGGACACCCTCACCTCTTCTGTAACAGACGCTCCAAAGTCGATTAGCGCTTGGAGCTTGGAATCAAGGAGCAAATCAGCAGCCTAATTAGCCGTAAGTCAGTTTCACCTCTTAGTCCATATCTTATGCGCCTGTCTCGACCTCTGTGACTGCATAACTGATTCTCCACCACAATGGTAGAAGGGTTACCCACCCCACCACCCCGACTCATGATTCGAAATGGTGCGTGCTGGGTCGACCAAGATTGCGCACAAGTGTCAGTCTATCTCTCAGGGAGATGACCCGGGCTAGCTATAAGAGGAGGTGGCTCTGGGTCTAAAGAGATTCTTACAAAATGTTGCGCACCTGAGGCCTTGCTGATATATCACCCTTCGGGTCAAGTGAGCCCAGCCCCACCTGATGCGAAGAGTTAGTCGGTGAGAAGAACTCAGATCAGAGGTTGGGAATTGGGGAGTCCAGGTTTGTTGTACCCACGAACGAGGCTTCGCTTTTGGAGATAAGAAATCTGGACATAATAAGACACAAGGTTACATCGACAACTGACTGGCGGGAAGGTTGCACTCAGTTGCCTCTTGATACATCTAGTGCAACGTACATGCCGTGAGTACGGTGCCCAGTGTCCTCAGTCTCTGGGCAGAGGATGTTGTGATGGTAGGCAGGAGGAGAAGGAGAAGGAGGAGGAGGCAAATGTGCTTCGTGATCCCATGTCTGCCCTCCCTAGCATGCGGAATCCGGAATTTCTCGATTCGAGCGCTTCTTTGAGAATGTCAAGCGAAATTTATACAAGATTCCAGACACCAAGCGGTCATTGTCACGTACATTCTTCACCGAGATGCTGCATACCACAAGACGGGTCCATGAACTCCTCGGGGCTGGGATGAATATCGTGCATTATATTGTCAAATTGGCGAATTTCATCGCCTTTCGTTATAATTTTCTTCAGCAACCTTGCTGAGCCCAGGCCGGCAACAATTAGTGAGATATGTGTGTGTCCGACGTACTGTGCATGACATAACCTGGTCGAGTGTGAAGATTAGACCACTTTACGCAGATTCTTCCAACGTTAGCGATTCACAA